CAAGATATTGCTATTGACTGCCTTGCAAAATGTCGCTTTTCTCAATTAAACGAAGAAAAATTAACATCTTTTGTTACCACTATTTCATCCCTCCAAGAATTGGTGGATAACTTTCCTGCGGTGTCCCCCATTAAAATGAAATATAGCGACGCAGCGCGAACTGCTCGTCTTTTGTACATTCAGCAAGTAATAAAATTCGTATTTCGGGTATCATTGAATTTAAATCCTCAAATCCGAATCAAGAAGGCTAGTTGAATGGACATAATCACCCACAAAGAAAAATCTATAAATAGAATCTTGTATCACATCGGTCTGTAATCATCAGATATTGTTAATAATAATAGACTGGGTAAATTCGAAGAAAAATTAAGTCCAAGATCTGTGTTGATTAAGCTGAAAAACGATTTCATTGCCACTTAAGAAAAAACAACAAGAATTGAAAAAAAGTTTATTGCAAAAAAGAGGTGAAATGTTGGATGCAGGTGCTGGTCCAAAATCAATAAAAATTCGTTATTTAGAATTTTTCTAAAATAATGAAAAAATTAACGTAGATAATTGACTGCCTGTCAAACTTTCGATCTCAGTAACAGAAATACGATTTCTGTCGTAAAAAGTACGCAGTCTTATAGGACTTGAAAGACGTCAATTGCTCTCAATTTTTCAGCATCAACTTCATACCATGTGTTATGTGAACAAGAAAACTGGCTAGCAGATAACTTCTCAAAAGAAAAATTTTGCCTTTTTCCTGACAACATAAACACATCTAATCGAACTTCAAAGGAAAATGATGCATCAGCTTATGGTGTTGTCATGATTTATGTTACTAAACATTTCACCTCCCTACAAGTAGAAATCTGCGATGAATTGAAAGCTTTTGATTTTTTCGTATATGCACAATAGACATCGGTACCTCATCTTCGACTGTCGTATCGTATGCGTTTATGTACCGGCGTTTATGACAGTCCTTACAACATATCCTTACAAATTTCATTTCAATGCTTAATTTTATCCGCCAATTGACTTGTTACCACCTGATCTTTACAGCCGATTTCATTTTTGAGGGGAATGAATGGGAAATTATTCCTCAAGAACTGAATCAGAACCGTTTTTACTCGAATTTGTGGATGAAAACAGCTTTCAACAACATATTGATTTCCTTACCACAAACTCAAGCTCATTAGATTTATTTATTACATCCAAAGATATTGAAATTGAAGAAAAATTGCCATAACAAAATCTAGATATATCAGACCGCATTGCCAAAGAAGCCAGAGTATCCATTAATGAAAAAATTTCACTTCGGATTTAGACCGCAAAGTCAATTTTGGCTATTGTAATGGGATTTTGAAAAATTAAACAACATTATTATACAATCCGGTTTTCAACCCTATTGCTGGTCTAATGTATCATTTCTTATTAAACAATGGAATCATTGGTTGAATGAAAAACTGAGAGAAACCATTCCTATCAGGACAAAACACAGATATTCACTTCCTTCTAGGGTAACTTCTGACACTTCGAATATACTCAAGCGGATTGAAACAACTTCTCGAATATATGGTGCTAAACATCCCAAGTATCTTGCAACATCTATAATTTGTCGAAGATCCCTTCAACGCCTAGCAGATGGCAGAAACACAAATGCTTTGTTTAAATGTTATAGGTCTCTAAATAAATCACCGCTACCGCCAACCTTGCGCTTTTGCAGCGCGAAAGCCTCGACTGACCTCGAGAAGTTTGATTTAATTGCTATTTTTTTCGCTGAAAACTATATCGAATCTTCTGAATTATAGATGATTTTTTTATCCACGAGTCCTTGATTATGGATATTTGTTCAAACCCAGATATTATGAAGCAAGTGGTCAGGTTTACCTTTCACCTTTTTCATTCTCTAAATGTGCTAGAACAGTCTATCGTTCACTACATCAATTATTTCATAAAATTTAACAATCTTTAAATTATCCAAAAGCCTGAAAAATTTCAGTATTTTCTCCAATACATAAAAAGGGCAATTCAAGTAGAAAACTATCGACCAGTCTTTTCATTATCAGTATCTCTGAAAATACTTGAGTGATGTTTATTTTTGTCGCTGTTTGATTTTTGCAAATTTTTTTTTCATAATTCTCAGTTTGGTTTAAGAAAAAAGGCTTCAACTCACTTCATTTTTTTATTTTTTTTTAGATGAATTTTTTAAGCAATAATAAGTTTCAGGTCGAAAATTTGAAAATATTTATATTTCAATAATATTCCAATTACTAATTTGAAATCTCACAAAGACCTGGGTCAACATAACCGAGGACGTTTCTTGGGATCTTCACCTATCAGAAAGTATCAAAAAAGCTAACTCTGCGTTCCGTGTGAAAGAGACGAGTTCTCCTAAACTTTCCAGGAGCACAAAAATGAAGCTTTATAAAAAAAATGTTTTAATCTACTATAACATATATCCGAGCTGATGCTTCTAATCAAGCACCGAAAATACTCGTTTATTGGAGTCCTTTCGAAAGAAATTTGTTATTGGATCACTGGTCTTAAAATTTATAAAAGCGCCTAATTAAACTAAACATTTTACCCGTACCATAATATCTTCAAATGCTAGATCTGTTATACCTATCGAAACTAATGAATGGGTCTTACGATTTCGATTTTACTGCCAAAGCGGTCAGTTTTTCACACACAAAAAAAATTCTTTTTAATACAAGCTCTGCTGATTCTAGTTTGTTTCTGGTACAACGCCTAAAGTTGAAGCTATGTGAACAGAACTTCTGGTTTCGTTCGACTCGACTTGCAAATTTAGCACCAAGTCATGTTGATATTACAGATATTGGTTCTCGCAAGAAAGGCCTTCGATGGTATTGGAATTATTTCAATTAATATTTTGATGAAGATGTTACCTGCTTTTGGATAATGCATTGTGATTGTGATTGTGACAGCTGCAGAAATTTGTAAAAAATCTTACCAACTTAAAAATAACCCCAGAGGGTTGATGAACCCTCACGGACTCTCCCGTGGAGTTTTTATTAAAAATAAAAATAATAATACTCATAATAATAATAATCATAATAACACGATCTAGATGTCCCATGTCTTATTTTTATTTCGCCAAGCATTCCTTCCTCAACAAGCGAAGGGTTTTGAGTTAACCATCGGTATAAAGTATAGAGAAATACCGAAAGTGTACAATCTATGCTGGGATGATATTTGATGAGGAATGTTTTTTGATTGTGGCACAAAATGTTTATGTTGGTGTCTCGGGTACTACAGGACGTGTATTGAGGTTTCTTCCGGTGTCCTCTCAAGACTATCAAGGAAGTTTTCAGGATGGTGAAGGAGAGCTTCTTCCGGATATAGTTGATAGTGTCCGCATACGTACAGTTCAGCTTCTCACTCATTTTTTCCGCCAGTATAGCATGATATCGCTCTGTCTCCTCACCCAGGGCGCCGTTGGTCGCAAAAATCAAGTGGGTAAAAGAGGCATGCTCTACCTGCAGAACGCGGTCGTTGTATTCGACTTTTTTTCCGATTCTCATGAGTCTTTAGGAGTGGCTTCAGTTTTCGGCTCTTATTACTTGGAGCGTTCGGGTGTGTGAAACGGACGTCACGAAACATTTTCTGCAGCGGTGCCCAAAAACCTCGACAAGAAATATCCAGTCTTGCATTGTCTTCTAGATTGCTTCTACTTGCAAGTTCTTCATTTCCCGTCAATTGGATCAGACCGGGCTCAACGCTCACATCCTTGCACGCGTTACGTTAAAAGTCGGCTTCGACGTCGCGGACAGCATTGTGAGGCATTATGACGAAACCACCCAACTTTCAAATCAAGGCATGGTCGATATCATTTTCCGCGCCACACTCACAAGTTTGAGCCATTCCTTTTAGGTGCCATCCATATCGGAGACAGGGATATCGATTCGAATCCGAGTATTCGACCCGAATACCGAGTATTCGGCACTTCGAAGCCGAATCCGAATATTAAAATTTTGAAATCCGAATATCGAATCCGAATATTTTTTTTTTGCCGAATACCGAATAATCCAGGGTCCACTGCTAAAAAACCCGAATATTCCGAATATTGGTTTACTGTTTTGTTTCACAATATTTTTCTGTTTTTTTTTAAGATGGCTAATGTAGAAGAGCAAACTGTTCATTAGCAAACTTGTTTTAAAATTACGGTCTCTTTTTTAAATAGTTTTTACATTATTACGCAAGTCCCAGCCAATTCTACTTGAAAAATGCTATGTTCAATACTTTTTATAGAATTTGTTGTATCAAACTTTTATGCTAAGTTTTTTGGGAAAATAACCAAATATCCGAATAGTTGTTCGAGTAGTAACATTTGGCCGAAGCCGAATCCGAATAGTAAGGGCACTATTCGGCCGAAGTCGAATATCGAATAGTTGGGCCGCGGCGAATAACGAATATCAAAAAATCCGAGTATTCGACATCCCTGATCGGAGACATAGCGCATCCCGGAACTCGTCTCTGTTCATGTAAAAATTCTGCTCCCTAGATGGCAGACTAGTCAGCCATGTGGATGTTCCTTTTGGCTGTAGCAGTTCTAGTGTGCGCTTCATTTCATTCTCACTTCGGGAATACACAATTTCGAGGGCTTCTTTTGCTTGTTTACGAACCGAATTGGCTCCGACAGAATGAGGTGCAAAACACAAGAGGTAGTGTCCGTGATTCTTCAGCCAATGGTTATAGGGCCTATTTCTCTTAACCTCATATGTGACGTAAGCGGACGACTGTTACAGCTGACTTTCCAGATATCTGTTAGGTTTTTTTCAAACGATTATATTAAATGAAAGAATCTACCAAACTGCCTATCTACCAAACATTGTAACCAGTTGTGACAACATCAAAATCTTCGATGCTAGAACCCACCAGATAGAATAAGAAAGAAGGAAACGGAGCTGATGACTATTGGTTAAAGACAAATGGCGATCAATTTTAGGTTAGCTGAATGGGCAATGTGGCATTAGTGATGTTTCTTTTTCAGTTGTTGTGGCATGAAAATTGTATAAACAGAATGCAAAATGTCATCATTAGAAGATGACTTGAAACAAAAATCAGAAAATGAAGAAATTTCAGTCAAAACTAACGATGAACAAGGAAATGGTGCTCCCACCGGATCAGATAGTTCTTCAATTAATAATGAGTTTTGTTTAGTAAATGAGGTAACAATCAGATTTATAATTGATACCACTATGTACCACCTGTGCATTTATTGATTGGTTGTTTAGGGAGATCTTGCAAGTGGTAGCAGTGTTGGGTCGACATCAGTTTCACGTTCAGCATATAACATGACTCCGGAAGATAGTCGCGAGGAACTGGAAGAAAAACTACGTGATGCTGCATTTGAAAGCGAGGATAGCAAATCTTTTCTATCTGCAACGCAGGTTGATAAAGTTGATTTAATGGCATTTCTTAAATCCGAAAATTAACGAAACATGATAACGAACTTAAAAATTTTAGATTTGTAATGGAGGTTTTGGAATCTATCATTACTAGGAGATTTTTGGGCTGCATGTGCATTTTAGGAAAAAACAAGTTAATTAAAATCTAACTTAAGCTTGGCTTTAAAGTTTCTGAGTCAACATAGTGCGCGAGATTTTTTTGAATTGAGTAATTTAGCAATTAAGCCTCCTTTCCTCAATGGTACCTGGCGATGAATCAACAAGCGGAGCGTTTTTGCGGAGCGAACGCCCTCAGCTTGTGCATAGCACTGATGGAGAGGGCAGATCGAAGTGATGACGTCTGCATAGCTGTCGTCCTTTTTTGGCTAATTTTGTCACCTACGTTGTAAATAACACGTGAGGACAGATCTAAGTGCGGATCGAAGTGATGACGTCTGCATAGCTGTCGTCCTTTTTTTGGCTAATTTTGTCAGCTAGTTTGTAAATAACACGTGAGGATGATGGGCTTGCTGCTCCTGTACAGGCAAAAATTAGAGGGCAAAGCTAGCATGTTCGACATTAACGACTCGCTGCTCGAATTTCAGCCTTTTCGAGTTTTCATGCTGTTTGTTAGCTTCTTCGATGTTTCGTGGGCATGTCTTGGCCTGTGGGTTGAACTTCACTTCAGAGTAGGTTTTACTGAACCGAGATTCCCATAGTCCATTGGCTTTAATATCTAATCTTGCTTCATCATCAGTGCTAGTAGAGTTGTAAGTAAAGTGGCCCATCTAGCGCTTGAATATGCGGCTCAATTTGGACATCGTAGCACACTTCATTAAATCAGCAAACCTCCTCGTATCTCAATATGTCTTATGGGAGTATATCTACCTTAGGGGCAATGTAAAGCATGATTAAGTAGTAGTAGTAGAACAGGATTTAGGGTTGTTATCCCATGGGTTTGCACCCAAAATGTAGTTTTAGTGTTAATGAGTTCTGAGTTTTCCATTTGGGTTACAGTTTCCACGTGGACACATTATTCGCCATGTGCAGCTGTCCATTTCTGAGTATGAGTATCTTTGGAAGAATTTCCAATAAATTTCCGCTTTGTCAGATTTCTGTACGTCGGTTAACTGTTTTGAGGTATGTCGAGTTATGACATTGAAAAGTGCTGGGCATCTAATGAAGAAGTCTGAGTTGGTTTTCTTAAGGCGAGTTTTCGGTATTTGATATTCGTTTCTTTCATTTTGTCTCGTTGAGCTTTTGGTGTTTTCGGCATATTGGTTAATGTCAATTTCGTAGTTATTGCGAACTATAGAAATGAGAAGAAGGAGGTCGTGCATTTCAATGTAATGAGACAGCGTTAGCATTCCTAATTTTTGTAGTCTACACTTATATGGGATATGTGAGTTAAGCATCCATTTGGTCGCCGTTCGCCGAACCTTTTCAATTGCTCGGAGGTTTGATTTCGAGTAGTGCGTTACTGACGCGCCATAAACTACAATTGGGACTACATATCCCGTGTAGGCATTTAGCTTAGAAGTTATAGGACAGTTTTCAGAGAGGTTACGCTTTAGTGAGTAAAAAGCCGATAGCGACTTCTGACAACGCTTAGACGCATTTACATTCCATGAGAGAGTGGGTGTTACTAAAATTCCTAGATCCTTTTGTTCAGTTTCGATTTTTAGGATATTTCCATTAATTTGACCTTCCAGCTCGTTTTTGAAATTAACGAGAGTACATTTTCCGGTATTTAGACGCATTTGGTTTTTACTACACCAATTTTCAATTGTCGTAGTGGCATAGTTCATTTCTGTTTGAGTTGTTGCTATAACTTTAAAGTCATCAGCATTTCCAAAAGAGTCAACTATATTCAAGTTATCTGGTAAGTCGTTTATATATAGTATGAAAAGTAATGGTCCCAATAGAGAACCTTGAGGGACACCACTTGTTACCTTGGGACACCACTTGTAACATATCTTAGACTTTGCTTTGTTTATTCGCACATACTGTTTTCGAAGAAATAAGTAAGATGCTATTATTTGAATTGATTTTCCTCCAAAATCATAACACGTCAATTTATGCATTAAAAGTTGATGCGGAACGCAGTCAAAAGCTTTTTCAAAATCTAGATAGAGCGCTGTTATATTTTTGGTCGTTTGGTCATCATAATTTAGGTATACTTGATGTAAGTAAGCAAGGAGTTGGGTAATTGCTGATCGTTTTTTACGAAAACCATTTTGAGAGTTATGAAGATGATGTCGCACTCTTTCATAAATGTAGTCAAATAAAATCTTTTTGAAAATTTTTGAGATGCAGCATAGTAAACTTATCGGTCTGTATCTTTTAATATCGCATTTGTTCCCATCTTTGAAGATTGGGACAAGTTCACTTAACTTCCACGTTTCTGGGAATATACCTTTATTCAAAAAAGTTTAAAAAATTAGGAGGACTGATTTTGATACTGTTTTCGCTAAGTTTGTGTAGACAAGATTTCCCAAATTATCTGGACCTGTTGCTTTGTTGATGTCTAGTTCGAGCATTATTTTCTCAATGCAGTCTTTATTCAGCTCGATGTGGTTGTATTTTGCTTTTTCAAAGATACTTAATTCGGTTATTTGTTCCGCTTTCGTAAGTACACTACAGAAGAATTGATTAAACGCATCACATTTTTCTTTGTCTGTCTCAAGTTCTTTGCCGTCAAGTTTCATTATCGAAGGTAGTCTAGGTGCTCTTCTTAACAGTAAAAAACTCATTGCATGTGCATTTTTGCGGGAGATTACTTGCTTCTCATCCATATCTTAATGCAATTTCGTCTCTAAACTCTGCCTGTGTTGAACAGAAATTACGGCTACCTGCTCTTATATTAAGTCGTGCATTTTAAGAGCGGGGTGTTTTCTCTTACGCGAACAATTGACCTGTAATCGGACAAAATGATCCAGTTTGTTATGAAACCTCAGTAACTTACAAGCCCTAGTCATTTGGTCCAGTATTAAAGTGCATCCACTGGGAGCCCAGGTTTGGTTCGGGGCCCATTCGTATGTGATTGTTCATGTCTAGAAAATTTTCTAATTTTTTTAAAAATCCATGTAATTGAGTTCCCAGATGTCGTATAATTTCCGTCATAATGGTTATAATTTTGCATTGTATCTTCTTGGGATTGAGTTGTTTCGGTTTATTATATATCTGGTTAGTTGCCTCCTCTTAGGTAGTGTAAAATATGTTTTCATGCGTTTTGTGCTTCGGAGGACAATTGAAAACATTTCATAGACCATTTTCAAGGACATCTACCCAAGTAGTGTATACCTAGTTAACGTTCGGTAAATTTTGTTTGAGTGTTATTTTAACGCTGGGCCTTAAGCTTATCACTTCCCCCTCTCAAAGTGAACAGCATCAGAGACATACGTTTGTTTATATAGTTTTTTCGACATTTTTTAGATTATTTTTTTTTCGACTAAGTGGTTTCCGTCTTGCTCTCTATCGACTAGCTTGCAATGCTGTTTGTGAAATGTATTTGTGCAAGTGCTGCTGTGCTGTGCTTTGTCGCTCTGTAAAAACTAAATTGTTAAAATCTTTGGGTAAAAAATAATTGTGGTAAAAACATTTTATAGTCCATTTTTTGGGACATATACCCAAGTAGTGTATACCTAGTTACCGTTCGGTAAATTTTGTATAAGTGTTATTTTTGACGCTGTGCCTTATGTTTTTCACATTTTCCCCTCAAAGTGAACAGCATCAGGGACATACGTTTGTTTATATAGTTTTTTCGACATTTTTTAGATTATTTTTTTTCGACTAAGTGGTTTCCGTCTTGCTCTCTATCGACTAGCTTGCAATGCTATTTGTGAAATGTATTTGTGCAAGTGCTGCTGTGCTGGGCTTTGTCGCTCTGTAAAAACTAAATTGTTAAAATCTTTGGGTAAAAAATAATTGTGGGTAAAAACATTTTTGGGACATATACCCAAGTAGTGTATACCTAGTTACCGTTCGGTAAATTTTGTATAAGTGTTATTTTTGACGCTGTGCCTTATGTTTTTCACATTTTCCCCTCAAAGTGAACAGCATCAGGGACATACGTTTGTTTATATAGTTTTTTCGACATTTTTTAGATTATTTTTTTTCGACTAAGTGGTTTCCGTCTTGCTCTCTATCGACTAGCTTGCAATGCTATTTGTGAAATGTATTTGTGCAAGTGCTGCTCTGCTGTGCTTTGTCGCTCTGTAAAAACTAAATTGTTAAAATCTTTGGGTAAAAAATAATTGTGGGTAAAAACATTTTTGGGACATATACCCAAGTAGTGTATACCTAGTTACCGTTCGGTAAATTTTGTATAAGTGTTATTTTTGACGCTGTGCCTTATGTTTTTCACATTTTCCCCTCAAAGTGAACAGCATCAGGGACATACGTTTGTTTATATAGTTTTTTCGACATTTTTTAGATTATTTTTTTTGACTAAGTGGCTTCCGTCTTGCTCTCTATCGGCTAGCTTGCAATGCTATTTGTGAAATGTATTTGTGCAAGAGCTGATCTACTGTGCTTTGTCGCTCTGTAAAAACTAAATTGTTAAAATCTTTGGGTAAAAAATAATTGTGAGTAAAAACATTTTTTGGGACATATACCCAAGTAGTGTATACCTAGTTACTGTTCGGTAAATTTTGTTTAAGTGTTATTTTGACGCTGTGCCTTATGTTTTTCACATTTTTCCCTCAAAGTGAACAGCATCCCGGACATACGTTTGAATGTATAGTTTTTTCGACATTTTTTTAGAATAATTTTTTCGACTAAGTGGCTTCCGTCTTGCTCTCTATCGGCTAGCTTGCAATGCTATATGTGACATGTATCACAAGTGCTGCTCTGCTCTGCTGGGTTGATAATATTTGTCATGGTTGTTATTGGAGGGACTTCCTGTTTGGTTTTTACTTGAGCGGGCGCAGTTTTTTTATGGACAATTCTTTCCGACATATAAAACAAATTTAGGTTCCACAGCGGAGCATGCATCAATGACGTGTACTACAGCTTGCTACGCATATTTCTTCGGTGTTAACTGTCATTCAAACTTTGTGGTCTAACAAGTTATTTACAAAAAAAAATCAGTTTATCGAAAAAGCTGACAAAAAACGGTTTGTCAGAAAAACCGTAATATATTTTCACGCTCATTTTTAAAATGTATTTTGTTGCTCTGGTTTTTGATTACCCTTCCCGTAAAATCAATCAAGCATCCAGGGAGTCTGGCATAGAGGTAAAACACCTGCTTGCGAGACAAGTGCTTGTGGTTTGAATTAGTCCAGAATCGTTTTTTTTTAAACAAGAAATTTTCTACTCTTCGGACAATTATTTGTTTGTTTGTTGTGGTCGGCTTAGTTCACGTAGCTCGAACCCTTTTTGAAGGTTCTGCAGAATTTTTACTAAATCGAGGCTTATTTCTACTTCTTCTTATTGTACTTTTTAGAGCTGCGTGTTCTCGCTTGTGTTTGCGAAGTGCAGCTTCGCCTTTGTGTAGAAGGAAGTTAAAATCCACGGTGGAATAGAAAAATTGTTAAGGTCAATAAACACGTGATTGACCTCCAGTTCAAAAAACGGCTTTCATTTTTGTGAATTCCCAGCTTCAATGTGATATATTTTTTTCGAATTTCGATTATTATTTTTTGGTTTCACTGTTTCTTATACTCTGTTCCAATTTTCTTTTTGCTGTTTAGCAAAATTAAATTCAACAGTTTAAATCTTCAAAAAAGCCTAATTAAGAGTCCGTGAATATATTTCAGACTTTTTAAGAGTAATGAACGCAGTGAAGACTCTTATATAGGTGTTGCTGATTTTTTTAAGGAAAAAGTCTTATATTGATGCTCTTAGGTATATATGCACTTTTTGATTAAATAGAAATTCATCAGCTGAAAGTGACGTAAATAGCATTCTTAAAATACGAACGTGCAAATGGCGCAAAAATTCGTGGAAAATTTCTAGTTTCGGAGTTCTAGCGGAATGAAAACTTTACCTGTGGATCCGGTTTTCTCAAGTTGGGTTACTGTTATCAAAAAAGCGCAAATCTTGAATTGTTCTAGAGGTTCAAAGAGCTTAAAGGGCACCTATTCTTTTCTTTGAAGTTCAATAGTTGAGATTTTTATGTTTACTTGCGTTCATTGACTGTTTTCCAACTGCCTGTTTGCTATAGTTGAAGCTATATAAATAAAGTTTTTTTAAATGTTCCTCTAAGTCATTTTGCCGACTTTTTTTGTTATAGTTGAACACTTTTCTACGACCAAATTTAAATTCAACAGTTTAAAGCTCCGCTGAAAATGCTTATTTGAAATTCGGTATTTTAACAAATTCTTCATTTAGGCAGTGTTCGTGTTGATTTTTCTTTCATTTTCCAATCGTTGTGTAAACAATTTGAAAGCTATTGAAAATTCTGTTCATCAATTTCGGCTGAAAACTGTAGATTGTATTTTTTCTATGTAATGATTATTTTGAAGCCCTTTTGTTTAGCCTAATTGATAATTTTCTAGTCTACTAGCAGTTATTTTGAATTATAAGTTTTTGCTATTGAAGTCTTGGGATGGTCCAAAGTATAATCAATTTAGACGTTAATTAAATTGAATTTCTTAAAGTTTTTCAATCAACTTTTTGCATTTTTCAATGAAGTTTCTTGTTTTATCTTGTTGAATTTGAGGCAACATATGAAATTGTTGGCTGCCTAAGTATAAACGGTGGTGTTGGAGATGTGAACGAAAAGTTCTATCAAAAGCAGTCCGATTTACAACGAAATAATTTAATTTTTCTAGATAACTTTTGGTAGACTTAGTGGTTTGTGCTGAAACTCGTTGTCGTGTTTTCCTCTTTTCGCTAAGTTGCAATAATCACAGAAACGATTATACGAATGGAATAATGAATCAAAACGTTTTCAGGTCTCTCATGAATCTTTCATTCAAGTCTACTCGCTTTTGATTTATAGACAAAAGTTTTAATCGGCTCTTTTTATGCATATCATGCTCGCTGTTGACTTATGGTCCACGCTCAAATCAAAAATATACGGCATTTCGGTAGCGAAATGATCAGTAGCAATACGATCTTGGATGGGAGCGATTTTTTAAAAAAAAATTTTTGTTTTCATTTATATACCTTATTTCCTACTTTTTGTTCAAGGTTTATTTTGCAAGAAGATTGTTTTCATTATTTGCAAGTGTTTTGAAGCCCCACTCCGCCTCCGTGTAAATCAAAACTGACGTATAGTTTTGCATCCGAAGTGATGCGAAGCCTTGCGTTACTTCTGCCTGTGGGTTTTGGGCAAATTTTTACTCTGCAGTACGTAATTCGCGAGAGGTCGAAAATTACCGGGAAGGGAAGAATGGGCAGTTTTTGAATAAAAAAAGTGTTTTTCATTGTGGGGGGCTTAAAATTATCAGTGGGGTCCCGCAACTTTGGATCGATTCTGATTAGAAAAACTGGTCAAAATTGTTTAAAAAAATGGTAAAATGGTAAATTCGTGTCGATGAAGAAGTCGTCGATCTGTATTGGGGGTCCCGAGAAATAAGTAGGGTAGAGTATGGGTGATGAATTTTCAATTTTTTGTTAGGTCTGTATCATTTATTGTTTAAAGTATTTTCAGGAATCGAACTCGACCACTGGGGAGAAGACAGATAAACGAGATGATATAGGTAAGCATTGAATAGTCTATTTAGCTATAACCTTCATCTTATCAACCCATCCGAACTTATTTCTTTTTACATGCTTGTTCTATTGCTTGAAAATTCTATCGCTGCCTTTTCCATAAAAATTCAAGCTCAATTTTTGAATAGTTACATGTTATTTGACAAAGATAGCACAATATAAGTCCTAGTACATTCAATGGGTCTATTCTTTGAAAGAAGAAATTAAGCTGATATTAACGATCTCTGACAAGTGTACCGAAAAATAGACTAGAATTAAGGTTATACTTAATCGCCACTGTTCTGTGCCCCCTGACACTTTGTTTGCTTCGCTAATCGATGCCTCACTTTTGACCATGGAGCCCAGTTTAAATTGTGTGTTTGTGTTCGACTTCGTTAATTCAGTCTTGTGCTGTTTTCTGCGCCACTCTGCTAGACTTGGTTGGTCTTCTCACTGGGACTTCAGAAGAGATGCAGGAGCAAGTGGACAGTACGTATCTGCATGGTGTGACGTATCTAGGATGTGGCTCAGTGGATATGACTATGGGCTACAAGGGGGCCCTGGAGGTCATGTTGGATTTGAAGCGAGAGGCGATGAGTGCCGTTCCAGTGACACTCGTGGTTCCAACAAACTCGTCCGGAAATTTAAGGTAACATTTTAAATGGTGTTCAAAATATGTGTTCCGAACAAAAGATAAATTTAAGGACGAAGTTGAGATCTTCAGGCATCTGTTGATTTGTTGCAGTTAAATTAAGTTGAAAAAACTGGAATATGAGTTTTTGGCGTTTGAAAAAGCTTCCAACGAAGTTCCGACTACTGAAAAGGTGGGAGGAACTTTTGTCTGGCCCAATGATGCCACCGTCCCAATGGTGCCCCCAAAGTCGCTGCAAATGGCACCAATGCCCCTTCCCGTGTTTGGCAGCGCAGAAAGAAACTTTTGTCTTCAGTTGTGTTTTTTTTTTTTTCTTTGTTTTCCTCGCAAAAATAGTCATTGAAATGGGTGGAATGATAAGTCTTGTTAAAGCTCTTTCAGTCGACATTCGAACTACATTTGAAAATGTTTTCTATGGCGAGAAAAATTGATTTGAAGTTTTTGATTTTTGTCTAATTTCGAGTAAAAGCGAGTGAGAAGGCTTACAATAAGCTATAATTCCCTTGCAATAAGAAAATGAATCTGACTAAGACCTGTTTTCTTCAAACGGTAAATATTCCGGTCGAAAGTTTTTTGGCCAATTATTTGTCTGTTTATGTTTTTTTTGTCTTAGTTGCCACGTCTAAGAATCGCTATCTTTTTGCTGTAAAAATTTTTCTCTGTAGTTAATTCAAGTGTGTTAGCATTTAAAAATCCGGATGAATCGAAGTTTGTTTCCTACATGGTTGTAATTTTACCAACTCGATTTAAAAAAAGTTTCATCTATTTTCTTTTTTATCGGCTTAAGTTTTGGTTTAATTTATATCGAAGTAGCGGCCTCTTATTGCGTCGTTTGGGGATCGAAAAAAGTTTTGTGGGTGTGCGTGTGTTCTGAGGTGAAAAGGGACAAATTTTTTTTATTAGTTGAGAATTTTTTCAACATGGAAGGTTTCTGCTCAGGTATTTTCGGCTTTGTTACCGCTTGGTAATTATAAATTCAAGTTCAATCGACAATCCAGCGCGTCCGGCGTAGAGGTAAGCACAACTGATTGTTATGTAAGCACAACAAACACTTCTTGTTTTTTGCAAGAAGAAAACTTTCGGCTTATTCAGAGTTATTGTCGGTCTGCTTATTTTAGTCGGCTTAATTCCGCAGAAATGATTTTTTTTGGGAAAATTCGGTTTCTTTCTAGCTTCTCTCTTTGTAAAGTTTCTATTTATATAGGCAGTTTTTTTTCGGATATTTTGGGCTTTTAGTGCAATTTTTTTAATGACAACAACGATTTCAATTTTTTCTCGTTTCATTTTAATCAAAGTCATTCATATTTATATCGCAAGTGGTGCGAAGCTCTGAGTTTTGCCTCTGTGCACAAGTTATGTCGTGAAAGTATAGGTTTACTACAGTTAAATTTGTTTTCGAGATAGTTTAAGCGCATTCATGGGAATTAACTTGAAAGAATTTGATTTCTTTCTATTTCTTTGGTGGAAAAATGTTGTCAATTGTAACGTAATTCTATCAAAGTTCTGTGCTTTAGTTCAGATCCTCATCCCGAAGAATAAGGGACGAAAGTTGAGCAAAAAAACTTGTTATTTTTTTGTGGTCGGAACATCTAGTGCCGCTTTCAAATCAACCGGCTATCTTTGTTTGTAAATTGATTGTAAGGGCTAACATGATTAATAGCTATGGTTGATATTGGTTCACTTTTGATTCTTAGGATGTTACATATTTTGCAGGTTGATTACACCTGGGACTGACGAAGTGAAGTTCTCAGTCTCCATTCGAAACATCGCCTGCTGCACACGTGGCACCACCCAGGAGATGCAAGACTGTCTGGGATTCGTGGTCAGTCAGCCCACTCGGAGGCCCCAAGGAACCATTTCAGCTACTGAAGAGGAGCAGTCAGTGCCGACCGAGTGTTATTTGTGCCACGTGGTACAGTTCGCAGCACTCGAAACAGTGAGTTGTAAAAAAATAAAGCTTGACTTTTTGGGAATCAGTTAGGCTCTTTTCCACTTTCCCCTACTTTTGAATTTCAATTTTGAAAAACTAATTTGAAATTATCATAATGTAATGAAAAATTGCGTGGTGAAAAAGCTAACGATTGTGAACTCATTTGTTCTTTATACCTTTCATCGTAACATCACGCATTCAAGAATAATTATATGTAAGACCATTGAAAAAATGGAAAGTTTGAAGTGTGTGTGTGTGTGTGTGCGGGGGGGGGGGGGGGGGGGTGGAAAAGAGCTATAATCTTTTGAACTAGCGCTCAGCTTAGTGTATTATTGCGAGCCTTCTTTTTTCTAACCTAACTCGTAAATAAAGTGTTCATAAGATGTGTTAACTTATTTGGAAATTTCACTGTAGCATTGGAAATTGCATAGCATCTGTTCTCTACTTTATTTTTGGCTAGTGTTTAGTACCTAGCAAGGTTCCGTGGCTGAGCAGTTAGTGCGTTAGACTCATAATCTCTAGGACGCAGGGTCGAATCTCAGACGTAGGAGAATTTTTGCTAATTCGAGGCTTATTTCTACTTCTTTACATTTGCGAAACAAAGTGTATTAGTACCAACTTTCTTTTTTTCCCAACCTAAGTCGCAAATAATGGTGCCTTGTATGGGGTACTTTTACAGCTTTTTGATAGCATGTGCTTTGACATTTGATTAGTAAAAAGTTAACACAGCTGATGTATTTTTAATTCATCAAATGAACCGAAAAAAATTATTTGTTTCAAACAGCAGTACAATGATAAAAAGTTTGATTTGAAAAATTTTCGAACTCAAAGTATTGCGCAATTTTTTGCAATGCATGATTTATACATAATTTGGCTTAATGCTTTCCAATTTTTTTTAATGCAAAATTGTGTTTTTTTTTTGTATTTGGTGCTACTTTTGCTGCATCAAATTGGCCATTTATTAGCATATGTTGCTGCGTTATTTTTGGCTAGTTTTTTTGGCATTTGAAGCATCCGTGGCTGAGTCGATAGTGCGTGAGACTCAAATTTGCTAGGTCGCAGATTCGAATCCGACACTTTGATAGAGCTGCTTTTTGGTCCTGTTCTCGCAATTGTTTGCGAAGCGCAGCTTCGCATTTGTGTCTTATTGCTTTTAAAGAGCTACTTTATGTCGTGTTCTCGTTGGTGTTGCGAAGCGAAGCTTTGCCTCTGTGTAGAAAACATAAACTCTTAATGTAAATATGTAGGGGTTAATACAGGCGTTGCTGCAGTTAAGAGATCTTTTAATTCAAATCATTTTGAGATTTGAAAGTAAAACGTTTTGAAGATTCAATAATGTTGGCAAAATGGCGCTAATTACTTAAGTAAGCGCTTTTGCAAAAACTTCGTGGGAGATAAGCACCGGACTTTTGATACACCTTAAGGCAAGTGGGTCTAAAGGCGCTTCCAAACCACGTTGAATTGAGCATGCGTATAAGTTATTCGTATAAAGTCCCGATTTCTCTAATAAGCTCAAATCAAACTTGAAAATCTGCCAAAAAGACAATCAGTGGTTTTCATTTCAGATCTCGGCTGCTTTGAGCAGTTTCTCTCAGGCTTTCGGCATGCACTCTATGCCCCCTGGGGGTCTCCATGCAGCCTTGGGGGAGGAGCCTCTTCTGTTGGTTCAATTCAATGTCTCAGTGAAGGAGGGGGAGACGAAACAAGTGCAGTCAGTGACAGGTGGATCCGCAAGCAGTACCAGCACGGAAATTAAGTTCGCCTATAATGTTCCAAGGTAGGTTTTAAATTGAATTTTAAGTCTATTTATCCACAGGGGAAATGATCAATATCCGAGAGCTGTTCAGCTGATAACGTAGAACCTCTGTTGTACCTCTGAAGACAATATTCATGCTTTTTGTGGACGTTCTTCCATTTTTACACACTTTTCTTTCGTTTTTACACTTTCAGTTTTACACTTTCAGTTTTTTGTTGCAAAAAGTTCTTTTCTAATAAACCATTAGCTTCTATTTGATCTTCTAGTCTATGATATCCGACAAGCCTATTCACAGTTTTACCGGATGTTTTTGGTATGTTTTCATGTTAACAATATATTCCGCCTTAGATGGTGTTTTTTTGCAATAAACAGAATGATTGTTTTTCCAATGTTCGACCTCTAATCTGAAGGATTTCTTGTTTAGAGATAGAACGTGTTTGAAGTTGCGGCAGTCGGTGCTGAAGAAAGTTGAGATTGCAGTGAAAGTCGTGTCTCAACCCCAGTTGCCCATCGAACGGTTAGTCGAATATCAGAAGTGTGTTGGAGCGAAAACGAATAAAGGTGTACTTCGGATTCGAGTATCAAATGTTTTGCAATATCAAATGTCTCCTCTACTGTTTACCAGTCAAAATCATTAAAAGATTAAAATCAGTCGAACTGCAGAGGAACTTAGCATAGTGGTAAGGCGTTCACTTTGAGATGGTCAGATTGTGTAATCGATCCCCTGCCATGGCAATGATAGTGTGTGAGGACGAGCTCTCCCTTGACCTCTAGCTTCAGCTCTACTACAGCGTGACCGAGTACGGCTGCCATAGTTGTACCACGTGAAAGCTCTAGACGCAAAAAAACGGCCTTGAGTCGCAAAAAAAGAGCCTCGCTCAACAAAAATAACCCAGTCTGGAGTGTGGGGAATTAAGAGAAACGGACTATGCTTAAACAGGCTAGATAGCCTTTCATAGATCCTCTGCGAATCGCAGAAACCACAAATAACTACCAATTGTGAGTGTTCGAAACAGGTCCGTTTTTAGTGACAATAAGCTCGTCCAGTGCAGTAATTTTCCCGTTTCAATGTCAAAAAATTAATTCTAATAAAATAATGATTTCAGAACGTGTGGCTTCTTCGTACAGTTCGACGATACGGCTGCGAATGTGAAGAACCGCAACTATGAGCTGTTGGATCATCTGGAGAACACTTCGGGTGAAAATAACGAAGTTTTAGCCTCAGGAATCATAGACCCCTCTTCGCCACAATTCAGTCTGTTCAACTTGCTAACTGGCAAAGGTATATTGTTTGTTGTTGTTGTGTGCCTACCGCTTCGTCTGCATGGTACATGGCAAAGGTAAATAGTCTTGTAAAATTGGTGCTATCTGTGCCATAAATACGCTGGGATTTGCTGCAATAATCCGTGTTAGAAGTAAAGAACAGTCTCATTCATGTTTTTTTTACATTGAGTGCAAATTTTTCTTTTTATACCTGCTAACTTAATGTAAAGAAATTACATGTGTCGCACTGCTATGTTGATGTTCTGTGTAGATAATGTTGAAGAACTGAATCATAGTTCTTTGGGATTTCTATATTTTTGTTCATCTTTTGCATATAAAATTTAGTTTGCATGTTTCAATGGGTCGGCCTAGGTTTCGTCGTAATAAATGCTCCCAGTGTCGAGGCGGTGACGCCGATAAATACCAGACGTTTGCATAAACAGTCGGTGTCTCGGAATTGGTAAGCTCGCAACACATCAACCCGATTGTGTGTATTAAATCTTCGAATGAATCGAGTACAATAGACATGAAGCATTTTATTTTATAGGACAAAATCTACCGGGTTACTGAATTATGACATAAATAGGTCTAAATTAATGGGACGAAATCTGCCGCGGGAAGAATTTTTTTAACCATTTCAACTGGTGAACACCTGTGGTCTATCCGGAGGGCCTTAGCTAGAAATATTATGCTGATTGTGTTATTTAAGAATCGATGCTTAATTCAGACTCTTACATAAGTCGTGATGATTTTTTTTCAATCTTTCCAGGAAAAGTCTTAAAAAAGGTTCGGGCTCAAATTTACTTTTCTTTGTATGACCATCTCTTTCTAAGTTCATTTCCTTTGTTAAAAGTAAGACAAACTCCACTATCAAACAGCAAGAATATAAAGGTAACAAAAAACGTGATTGACCTCTACTTTCGAAAGTGGAATTTAATTTTCAGATTTCGCAGCGGAATAAAACTTTTACCTTTTGATCCAGTTTTCTCAAATTGGGTTAATTTAATCATAAAAATGTCAATCATAAATTGTTCTAGAAATTCAAAGAATTATAAGGGCATCTTTTTTTGCTTTAAAGTTCGAAAGTTGAGATTATTTCAAATAAGTCACTTTTTTTCAGTTTAATTGCGTTCATTGACTTTTTTTGTTCATTGACTATTGATGGGATAATGAATCAAACTGTTTTCCAAAATAGTGATAAGTCCCACAAACTGACGTATTTTTCAGGTCTATCATGAATCTGTTGTTTGAAAATAAATCAATTGTTCTATTGAAAAATAAATTGTTTACCCTTGCGATAAGCAAGAGTATTGCAATTGGGTACTAGATATTTTCCCGTAAATAACTTTAGGCACAGGACTCATCTCCTGGATCCTGGACTCATTCATCCGCTTGTCCTTGCTGTTGCAACAGAGATATTTTGAGCTTGCTAGCATTTCAAATATACGGCCTATTCGAAATATACGGCCTATTTATATGTTGGTTGTAGTTTTACGAACTCGGTTTGTTAAAATTCCATTTTTGTTTATTTCTCCTTTTCTTTTCTCGGTTTAATGAGTTTTGGCATATTTTATATCGGCTTAGTGGTCCCATATTGCATTTTTTGGGTGAGTGAATTTTATGTGTGCGTTTGTGTGCGCGTTTTGAGGAGGGTGATCTTCAACATTTTTTTCTAGTTTTGATTTTTCCTTATTTAAAAAAAAAGTGTAGGGTTTCTGCTCAGGTATTTTTATTTTTTTTTCACGAACAAACAGATAGATAGCAGACAGTTTTTGAGCTTGTCTGTTTTTTAAATGCCCGTTCTATTCGAATTTTTTTTTGGTTTCGAAAATGGAAATGAATTTTTGGATTTCCAGCGGAATTAAAACTTTTCCTATTGATCCTGTTTTTTTTTTAAATTGGGTCAATTTGATCAAAAAGCGCCAATCATAAAGTTTTCTAGAAATTCAAAGAGCTTAAAGGGCATCCATTCTTTCTTTGAAGTTCGAAAGTTCAGATTTTTTCAAGAAAGTCTTGAGTTTTTTTATGTTTACCTGCGTGCATTACTCTTTTTCAATCTTCGATAGCCTATGTTTCAGTTTTTTCTCTTTTTTTTTCTCTATAGTGGGCTTAAAAGGCTTCGGCTTTTATTATATCGGCTTAGAGAGCATTTTTTGATTCGTTTGAGGAGCGAAAGTGTTTTACATAAGTATTTTGAGAGAGACTTAAAAACTTTCAATTTAATTCTCAATTTTTTTAAGTTTTAATTTTTTTTTCGGTGCCACGTCTCTCTGCCCAAAAATTGTCGGCTTTTTTGACCGCTTGATAAGTTAAGTTGTGATGCTGATTTAATATCCAATAATCTTACTTCTTAGTAGATTTCATGAAAGGATTTTATAATCAAGACAAAATCAAGAAAATAGAAATGAATTTTTTGGTAGATCAGTTTTTTCGGCGTTTTCTACGGCTCTCATTTTGTATTGGTTTTATCGCAAGTAGTGCGTGCTTCGCTCCCCCTGACTTTTTAATTTCTCAAAGGTGCGGGTAATGATGCTTCAAGAGTTCGGATATTTAAGTTTGTTTTTCGAATTTGTTGGTTCATCTGCAAGTAGTGAGAGTCATTCATTTTTCTATCGCAAGTGGAGCAAAGCTCTGTTTCGCCTGTGTATGTTTTCCTTTTTTTGCTCAGAAGCTTTATTAGCCCTAAATGATTTCGGATTATGTTTTATCGGCCAAATTAACTTATTTTTTATTGTTTGAATGCCAGAAATCGATTTTTGTTTTATTAAGTAAATCAGGTCGGTTGTGGTACAAATATAAGTTCAAACTACTTTTATCGCTTTCAGTATTTGACAACAAAATTTGTTTTCGACCCAATGAGCGTCTATTACGTATTGTTCGCTAATTAGCCCCGCTCTGTTAACCCTAAAGTCTAATTTATCGCTCTTGGATGTTTCGCGACTGTTTTTCCAAAAATTTTTTGCCACCATGTTTCTTTGTCTCATTTTATCGATAGCTTGCAATGCTATGCTTCTGTTGTATTGTAAGTGATGCAAAGCTCTGCTTCGCCTCTTTGTAAAGAAAAGAATTTCCGTTGTTTTTATACTGCTTGTAATCTATTATATATTTAAATGCGGGCGTCACTATCTCGCCATGTTTAAGATTTTTCAACGTATTATTTTTTGCATGTTTAAGCTGTATCGTATATTGCAATGGTTAAGAATTTTTTTTTCGATTTTCTAATTTGATTTAAGTGGTTATTTTACTGAGAATAGAATAAGCAGCCCAATATCGAATAAGGGGTTGCGAATTTGGCCTCCAATTTTGAATGCCCGAATCATTTTAGTTAACGAGATAAGACGATTTTTGAGATTTTTTCAAAAATTTTAAGAAATTTCAAATAACAAAACAATTTTTAAAACTTTAAATTCCCAACCCTGTAGTTGGGTACTGTCAGAGTACTATAAAGGATTGCGAGTCTTGCTTCCAAATATGACTGCTCAGATCCTTGTAGTTTTCGAGATATGACGTTTTTTGTAATTTTTTCAAAAAATTTCCAGAAAACTTATATTTAATTTTTTTTCGCCGAATCTGAAATTCTCGACCCTTTAGTTGGGTCCACTCAGAGTACTCTCAAAGATTGCGAATCTTGCCTCCAAATATGACTGCTCAATTCTTTGTAGTTCTCGAGATATGACGTTTTGTGATTTTTTCAAAAATTTTCAGAAAACTTAAATTATATTATTTTTTTAAAAATCTGAAATTCCCAACCGGGTAGTTAGGTCCTTTCAGAGTACTCTCGAAGATTACAAATCTTGCCTCCAAATATGACCGTTCAATTCTTTGTAGTTTTCGAGATATGACGTTTTTTGTGATTTTTTCAAAAATTTTTCAGAAAAATTAAATTAATATTTTTTAAAAATCAGAAATTCCCAACCCGGTAGTTAGGTCCTTTCAGAGTACTCTCGAAGATTACAAATCTTGCCTCCAAATATGACCGTTTAATTTTTTGTAGTTTTCGAGATATGACGTTTTTGTGATTATTTCAAAAAAAATTTCAGAAAAATAAAATTAATATTTTTTAAAAATCTGAAATTCCCAACCCCCTAGTTAGGTCCTGCCAGAGTACTCTCAAGGATTGTGAATCTTGCCTCCAAGTATGAATGCTCAATTCTTTGTAGTTTCGAGATATGACGTTTTTTTGTGATTTTTTTCAAAATTTTCAGAAAGTTCAAATTAATTATTTTTCAAAATTTGAAAGTCCCAACGCTATAGTTCGGTGTTGTCAGGGTACTCTAAAGAGTTTCAAATCTTGCCACATGTGACTGCTAAACGCGACTGCCCAAATGCTTTTAGTATCTTAGATGTGACGTTTTTTGATTTTTTCAAAACTTCTCAAAGAATTTATCTACATGGAAATTACCAACTCGATGAAGATACAACCTTATTGTCAGCGTACACCCTGGCGTCTCAAATCTTGCCTCTTAATATGAATGCTCAAATCCTTTTAGTTTCCGAGATAAGACGTTTTTTCAATTTTTTTTTCGGAAACTTGGGTTTAAAAAAATTCACCAAGTTTTGAATTCCTAACTCTAGTAGGGTGCTCTCAGGGACTCTCAGTGGTTGCAAATCTGGTCTCCAATTTTCTCCAGAGGCCCATTAAATTTTCGAGATGACGCTTTTAAAATGGGAATTAATAAAAAATTAAAAAGCGAAATTACCAAACCTGTAATTGGGTGCAGTCAGAGTACACGAAAAGTAATTGGGTGCAGTCAGCGAAAAAGAAAGGCAACACAACTTAACAGAATCATTTCAAAAGTCTTTAGTGTCTTATATAATAAGATATTGAAAATGATGCAACCTTTATCCAATTTTTGGGTCGTTGCTGTTCTTATGTCCACTTAAATTGATTAATCAAATTTTATTGAAAAGTTAAAACATTTTCTGATCCGGAAGCTAATTGTTCTGTTTTGATAGGTATAGGCTTTTTTCTTCGACTTTCGTCCTTTGTTCCTATTAGTTCATAAAAAAGCAGAGCTCAAGCTCAACCACATGTATACAGTCGTCAACGTTGTCGAAAGTGTGTTGTTTTCCTAATACTTTTGCTAATGTTTTCATTAGTTCATATATGTGAAGTTCTTTACGAGTTATTATTTTGTATTTATTTTTTACTATACGTAGTGTCCGTTTTTTTTCAGGTTAAAATCAATTCGTAAAATTCTGTTCTGCGCTGTGTCAACTTTTTTAAAATCAGTATTTTTTGCCAGACCAAATAACAGCACTCCATATTGTAATACTGGTTGAATGCAAACCTGATATAGTTTTATAAGAGAATCTTGACTCAAAAACAATTTGTGATGTTAAATTTTGCCTGTGTGTGGTGACAATCGATTTATCAATTGATTTATATGTTATTTGTGTTTAAGAGTGTTGTCTACGGTAACCCCTAAATATTTCATTTTATTTAGTAGTTCTAATGCTTTGTCGTTCAAATTGATTTTGTAGTTTAATTTTGGCTTGAAATGGAGAACTTTACTCTGACCTGCATTTACTGTAAGCTTATTGCTCTCCATCCATAACGAAATGCGCTGTAATTCGTCGGACATTGATTTACCTTCATCTTTAGCAGTTCCAAACAATGTTATGTCATGTGCAAAGTCGGTTATTTTGTAATTGGACAAAAGAAGATCACTCACCTAAGCAGAAACAGTATATGACCAAGCATCGAACCTTGGGGCAGCCCACACTCTATCGAGCGTTTCTGTGATAACTGTTTTTCAATTTAAACATACTGGTATCTGTTTTCAAGGTATGACTTCAGAAGTCCATGAATTGGGTATGTAAGAAAGCCATATCGGTAACATTTTTCAAGAACTGAATGATCAACGGTCTCAAACGCTTTGGACAAATCAATAAAGGTACATGCGACATCATCTTTAGCTGATAAATTTTTCGAAATAGTCTACAACATCCAAAACTGCATCTACTGTTGTGTTTTTTTTAGTTTGATATCCAAATTGATTTGGCGTCAAAATTTTTTGCGATATTACAAATTTTTCATTTTGCTATAGATTAGTTCTTCAAGTACTTAACTGATTACCGGAAGAATAGAATCTGGTCTGTAGTTTCCACATTTATCTTTGTTTCCACTCTTAAACAGCGGTATTACTTGGGCAACTTGGGCAAAGATAGCTACATACGGCGGGATATATTATTTTAATTAGATAATTATTATAGCCTTTACAGTCCGCTGATGTTTTGTTCTTCAAGTTTTTTAAAACACAAAAAATTTCATGATCGCTTGTTTTCTGAAAGACCATTGACTCGGTCACTGTTTTCACGGTTTCTAAACTCATTGGTACTGCGAAGTTTTTTGCTAGTTCTTTCCCGATATTCACAAAGTAGTCGTTCATCTTATCGGGACTGAACTCTACTCTCTGATTAGTGTGAACACCATCAATTTCTTTGGCCAATTGGAACAAAGTTTTTGAACTGTCCTTCGATTGATCTATTTTGTTTTCGTAGTAAGTGGTTTTAATTGTCTTGATTATAATTTTTGCTTTATTTCTATAGTTTTTAAAAGTTTCCCCAGCCCCCTGAGATTTTTCACAAAAGATTTTATAAGAGTTTTTTTTGCTGCTATATTTTTCACCCGATTGTTCATTCAATCCTTGTAGTAAGGGCGGAAAATAATTTCTTTTTCTGGTATTATTTAATTCAATGCTGATAGTAAACTTTCGTTTAACTTTGAAGTTATGTCATCAATGGATTTAGAAAAAAAATAATTTTCAGTGAACTTTAACTTTTTGTAAATCAAATAATTGAGGTCTAGTTGTTTTTGCTTTCGATTGAAGCCTTTTGAAGGGTCTGTTCAATTTCTTGGAGCGTGAAGAAATCATTTTCGTTCTTTTCACTCAAAGCGTCTTCAGCTTTTAAGTATACACCATGATGATCTGATATTTCGGTAACTTTTGTTCCAGTTGAGCTTGAAAATTTGTGAATAAAACATGGATCCAGGTCTGTGATTTAGTTGTTTCTCTAGTTGGGTTGCTGATTAATCTTGGCTGCTATCCTTGAATTAATAGTGTTTTCAGATTTTTTTTGTACTTTTGTTGTCTTCATCTTATTTATATTTTTATCTCCCTAAAGTATGTGTTTGCAATTAGCTTGGCTTTTTACTCTCAGCTTGTGTTCTTGTAGAATGTCTAAAGTTTCATCTATTCCAACATCTGGTGATTTTTAAAACAGTTTAAATCAATTTTTCTGCCTCTCTCAATATTTTTACCGATAAAATTTGTAAATGATGGTTTTAGTCCTCTTTATGATTTGATATTTGTGTTGTTTTTTGATGCATATTTCTACGCCCGCACCTCTTTTCGCTCTATTGCATTCAACAGTTTTTTGATATCCCTTTAGAACTAGCGCTTTTTTGTTCGTATTTTCGTTGCACGATGTCTCTGTTAATGCTCTTGCTAGTGGTTTTCTTTCCAGTTCTGAAAGAAAAACTTCCAAACTACTAAAATTTTTTAGATAGTGATCTAATATTTTGTAGAAGTACGAGCCGAGACATGTACTTTTTCAAATAATCAATCCGTTTTGTCCCACTGCGAGTTCTATTTTATTATTCTCGGTTTCTTTTTTCCTTTCCCATTTTTTCCTTATTTTTCGTTTTTTTTAGACCAAGTTGTAGTTGTACCGCCGAAGTCGTAGTATAACCTATTTAGATTCTGACAAAACCATGAATTCATGCACACAATTCAATACTTACTCACATATGTTCTGATGTCTTCCTGACAAAATGCATCATAAGAAGTTGATAACATGCATGGAGTAATTATTTCAATGTCTGCTTCAGCCGGTTTGCTGTATGTGCGTTTTGCATTGGACGTGGTGTTCATGGGAATTGAGACTCCTGTGAGATTCCACATTCCCGTGGTGTGTCGGATAGTGGGCAAGGGGGAGAGGTTCTTCTACCCCAACAGGAGACCACTAGTCATAAGCTACATCATCAACCTCAAAGCCATTGTGAGTTGTAGTGGAGTGGAGTTGTTGTTGTATTTTTCTAGCATAGCATGCTCAATATTATCATCGAATGGATATTTTCTGGTTGTATACACTAAATACATCACTAAAAATCTATTAACTGCCGAGAAACGGATTTAGAACTCGTGTAGGTTGATGAATCGAGTTCGAATGCGTCGAATTGCAAGTTGGTAAGAGTATTTTTTTATGAATGCATGTTTCAATTCACTGCACCATAATATGAATCGAAACGAAATAAGAAAATGGTGTTTAAAAAAATACGAATGATGTCATAAAATTCAATTAGATGACGATAAATAACTGCAAATAAAATTTCTGCAAAAGAACGGAAGAGGTAGATCAAGTTGGTTTGAAAGTGAGATTATCGGCTATTTTTTTAAGCCCGATACTGATAGTTCATACCGAGTGGAAGCTCTGAAGTGCGAGGGAGAGACGAACTCTGGAAGCATGGCTGGAAGTCTAGCAGGAAGTATATTCCGGATCAGTTCTGCTCACAGCTACGATTTCTCGGCCGAAGAGGAGGACAGTTTGTCCAGTGTGAATGGTGCTGGTGACTTTGCAAACGAGTTCTATGGGGGGTCGGAGGCTGATAGTTTGAACCAAGGGGCAGAAGATGACCCGAATGGTATGTACATTAACAGTTTCTATCATTTTTGTTGTGGGATCTTAAGATGTTTTCGAAGTAGTCGATGTATTCCAAAGTAGACCCTGTTGACGAAAACTATTTTTTGTTGTCAATCCGTTCTTTGAAGTTAATTTGAAAGAGATCCGGTCCTTACTTGATTGGTTTTTGACGAAATTAGAGAAATATGATTTTGAGCTACTGATCATTTAATATCATTTATTACATAAATTTGGACGGTGGTACGCTTTCCGACTTTGATTTGACTATCTGTCGTTGTTTCAGAATCAGTTGATGACGTGGTGTTGATGAGTGGGTACGGCTCAGTGTCCAAAGACTGCAGCGCAGACATCTTGGAAAAGTGGGATCAAGTTTTGAAAGAATGGAAAGATACTGGAACCCCAGTCACACCGATAGACTCACCGGAACAAAATACTTTCTCATTTGGGTTGCCCGGTAAAGGTCGGCCGCAACCGAAAAAAGTGAGACACCTAGTTCGGACTGTCGGTATCCCAGAGGCTCTCAGAGGGGAGGTGTGGTTGCGACAGGTTGGGACGGAGGATGCCGAGGAGCTATGCGCAAAGTATCGCGAGTTCCTAGACCAGGTTTGTCTTCTCATATCATTGGATAAATTGTGTAAATAATGAAATACAATGCATTTTTGATTTAAAATTATGTACCTGCTTTTAAGATGCAATAACGAGTAGATTTTGGCGAGCCGCTCTACCCTTCCAAGTAATAATTTTGGGAATTTTGTGTTTTTAGGAGTTCACGAATGAAGATCAGATAAAGAGAGACATCCACAGAACGTTCCCGGCCAACGACTTCTTCAAGGACGACCAGGGACCAGGACAAGAGGCACTTCTGAAAATTGCAAAGGTAATACAATACTACTGATGCAATGGCTGCATTTATCTACAGGAGGTTACCTTAAACCAGGGTGACCAAATCGGTCCCCTTTGGGGGACCAGTCCCCTTTGTACCCCTTTTGGTACCCCGAGCGTTCAGTGGTCCCCTTTTCTATTTTTTTTTTACAGATGCTTCAAAGTTATCTTTTTCAGATCACGCAATGGGAAAATGTCGCTTCAATGACGCAATGAAAAACGACTTCCCGTGGGCACTGAGCGTTCATGGCACTGAGCGTTCATGAATTTTGATCCATTTTTTTTCTACAGTTATAGTGTTTTTCGGTTCCAATTCCTAATTTATTGTGAATATATGAGAGGTCCCCTTTTGTCATCAGCGTATTTGGTCACCCTGCCTTAAACTATAATATTGTCTCACTGAAAAATAATTAAAAACTGTAAACTGGATATTCTCTCAGCTACTTCATTTATTAATCGAAAAGTCAGGCAAGCTTTCATATGGCGCTCTTGGATATTCTGTAAAGCCTTAATCGTCCCTCAAGTTATGTGTTGCTTTGAATAGTGAATTATACGCCTAATTATTATCGTATGCCTTATTTGAGAAGAAAGCGATCTTTGAGAAACTGGTTGCTTAGGCATATGCTCAGTACGACCACGAGATCGGCTACTGTCAAGGCTTCACATACATAGCAGCTGTTCTACTCCTGCACATGCCTGAAGAGCAAGCGTTCTGTGTGTTCGTCCGTCTTATGGGTCTATTCAAGCTACGCGAACTGTACAAACAAGACTTCTACGAACTGAAACTGAAGTGGTACCAGCTGGACAGTCTTGTGAAGGATCACATTCCAACTCTCTATTACCATTTCCAGAGTATAGGACTGAAGTCACACATGTTTTCGTCCCAGTGGTTCCTGACGCTCTACACGGCCAAGTTCCCGCTGTACTTGGTGTACAGAGTCTACGATATCATCTTCAGCGAAGTAAGAACTTCAGTTTGGTAGTTATTTTAGTTCGTGCCCTAGTAGCGTGTTTTTAAAGTTGTTCCCGCTCAGTAAAGATTTTTCAAAAATATAATTCCTTGTAGTAGTTAGAACATAGTTGAAAGATGCCTGAGGGGGGAAGAGCCCTGCATGAGGGCACGAAGTGCCCGAGTGCGGCTCTTTATGCCCGAGGCCATCTTCAACTATGTTCTAACTGTTGAAGAGTACGTTTTTGCTCTTTCTGAGGGAAAGATACCAGAAAATTGTGAAAAAGCCTGGAAAAGTGCGCGAAACTATGCAAATGATTTCTTTTTTCATTCATGCGTTCTAATATTTCATTTTTCAGTTATTCCTTGTCGTGAAAAAACATGTGTGAAAGAGCAAAAACATACTCTTCTGAATAATAGAAAAAATGTTAGAATTACGTTTTTGTACCTCAAACAGTGCAAAGCTCCACTATGCCTTTAGGTATGATTTTTTATCCGTAACTGGCATAAAAACGCAATATTGAAACTAAAGTAACATATGTCTTGTGTATGTCTTAACTAAAGTCTTATGTATTAACGAGTCCATTTTTTTCGTACCATAGTCTCCGATTTCTCGAGCTCTAAAATTTGAGTGCATCTTGGTTTCCATTAGGCAACTTTCATTAGCATGAATTTGTACTCGGTTAAATACTGCGCATTCACATCTATTTGTATGTGTGGATAAGAGCAGAATTTAATCATTTTAGGCATGGAGTGAGGTGGTAGCCTAATCAGCTGATTGTAGGTTCGCATACCATGGTATAAATTTTGCTTTTTCGTTATCGTTATCTTTTCCGGCTAATATCGTTATTCTTAGGTGCCGATTATCGAAGTGAAGACACTTATTTGGATTGTGTTTTTTTTGTTTTTTTTTAGGATGGAGTCCTAAAAGTTGTTCACGCTCAAGTTTTCGCGACTGGACTTTACTGTTAATAATAACAAAATACAATTTGCGCGAAAAAACGTGCTTGACTTGCGCAAAAAAAACTTGTATAGTTTCATAAATAGATTTCAATTTCGAGATTTCGCAGCGGAATGAAAATCCTTTGACCCAGTTTTCTCTAATTGTGTTAGTTTAATGAAGTATTTCGGTCATATTTGTTCTCTTTCGCCAGAGAACGAGTCGATGAAGATTGATTAGGAGTCGATGAACGTAGCTCATACTCTTACATAGGTCGGGATGTTTTTTTTTCAGGAAAAGTCTAAAAATTTGTCCAAGCTCAGATTTCGCGGTTCGACTTTAGGTTTCTTTTTAAGTTCTTTTCCTTTGTTAAAAGAAAGACAAACTTACAATCGAACAGCGAAAGAGTCACGAAAAACGCTATCGACTTCTAAATTCGAAAATGGAATTTATTTACAAGATTTCTCAGCGAAACAAAATTTTACCGATTGATCCAGTTTTTTTCAAATTGGATTAATTTTTATCAAAAAAATGTCATAAGTTGTTCCAAAAAATCAATGAGCTGTAAGGTCATCTATTTTTTCTTAGGAATTCGAAAGTTGAGATTTTTTTGTCAAAAAATTAGTTCAGTATTTTTTTTGTTTACTTGCGTTCATTGACTCTTTTCCAACTTTCTGTTGGCTATGTTTATTTGAGGTAAATGTGGGGAATTTTAATATGGTGCTTCCGCAGCATGTTGAGAAGTCATTTGCCAACAAATACGAGACCTTAGGAATTTTAGATTTTCATAACAAAATCTCCTAAAGAGGCATATTTTTCTTGTGAGCTTATATTTGATTACGGCGTAAAAGTAGGATGTTATTATTCATGAGACATAATGCTGAGCTCTTTTGTTTGGAATTGAAAAGGTAATAGTTTCATCTGGTAAAATTACAGGAAGGACGGGTAACGGCAAAAGAACCTAAGCTGAATATTTTTCAGCCCTGATGCATTTATGTTTGACTGCGTTTTGAATGCTTTTGTTATCATCATAATCTATCTTTTAGCTTTTAGTCATCTGTTCGTTTTTGACTACAGGGATTGTCGTTCCTCCTCAATATTGCGCTGGCGCTTTTGAGAGAGGCAAGTGAAGAGCTGTGTCGGAAATCGTTTGAAGAATGCAATACTTATATCAAGGCCAACATTCCCCGCAAGTACAGAGACGCCGCTTGTGCAGAGGATCTCATCAGAAAGGCTCTGCAAATGAAGGTTAGAAAGAGAAAATAGAGGGAGAACAGTTAGTTAAGATATCTAACATCAATGTGCAGGGTTTTGTAGTATGTTTGGTTATAATTATGGTAGTTAGTCCCTAAATGTGAACTCATCACTGAAAAAGGAACAGAATTATACATAGAATCTTTTTGGAAAAAAGGGTCTTTCAAATTGTCTGTATTTTTTTGAAATTGCCATACCTTTTATGGAGAAAAGTTAACATAACTTTTCTGGCGAAAGAGATATTTAGCTGGAGTTTTTTCAATTGTAAAATTGAAATTGAATATAAAGGTTATAGGAAATGCATTCCTTTTTCAGAAACACAGAATCTCTATTATGCTGAAATTTTCTGAAGAATTTTCAACATCCTTCACCGCTTTATGATTCTGTTGTTAAATTTGGTCCTTAGTCAACTGAGAATATGCTCCACGCAGGGATTGTTTTTCCGTCTTGCGTGAACCATATGCGTCTAAGATTTCGTCAATCCAGCAGAAACGGCCAAAGATCTGTTTGAGCATTTTGAGATATGAAATCTTGGTGCAAGTTTTATTTGCAAATCCATCTTCGATTCATCGTTTTTCTGGTAATCACGTTCCATTGAGTTGCGGTTCCTCGGTACCTTCCACCCAAATTTTTTCCTTCCAAATTGTTCTTGGAACCGTTTTTTAAAGTGTTGATGCAGCGAATGCAATAATTGAAAAAATTTGATTTAACCTTTAAACTTAGGGCTTTCATGAAAAGAGAATAGGCAAGAAATTAGTTTTTATTTTTAATTTGAGAAAATATTGTTTTCATTCATGCTTGAACAAATATTATGGAAACTATTTGTAGCTCTTAAACTTGCAAAAGTTAGAAAAAGTGGGAATTTCATCAAACCAAAAGCGGAATTTTTGTCCTCCCTAAAATTAAGTGGCAAGTTCAAGCCGTAGGGCCGGCATCGACTATGTTCAAATCTGATTGGCTGAAAAGTATTACTTTTAACCAAGTGAACAATCTCCCCTTAAATTGATTGAGGGGGATCAAGGGTTATGAAATGACAAGTTTTTGAGACACATATATATAATGTTAAAAACCTTGTAATTTTTTTTGATATATTTACGCTTGCGATTAGCAAAGGTTATCAAATCGGAATAAAGACTTTTTTCGGGTTAACAACTTGTTTGACAGAATCTTTTGCATCTTGGTTCATAATCAATTCAAATTTTCATGTGTCTCCAGCACTTCTGACCAGATACTTATTTAACCTATTGCTTTTTCGGCTTAGTTGTCACGTCACTTGATAAAATTGATTTTTTATCTGCAATTTTCGATTTAGTTGCTTTTAGTGCACGGAATTACTCCTGCAATTTGTTATTTTACTACTCTTGACTTCTATGTTTTTGTTTCACTTGAACATTTTATTCGACTTAAAAGATTTCGGATTATACTTTATCGGCTTAGGGATTTAACCTGGGGTCATTTCAAGGGAAGCATAAGTTTCATACTTCGTTCCGGATTGAATAATTCTTCATGACAACAATTATATTTTCGGTTCTACGGGAAATTTTCCAAGTTTTTTGAATTTTCATTAATCGCCTTCAATATGTTCTGGACGTGTTTTCCGCAAGTACAACTTGGTTCCCGACAAATTTTTGAAGTTTTTTGCTGTTTTTTTTCCAAAGTTTTTTCAATTTTTGAAGGTTTTCTCAAGGCTTGTCGTTCGAATCTGGCCGGGGCCTGTTTCTGTAATTTTTCGGACTGTTTTTTGTCGGCTTAGTTTCTGTAACTGGATTTTTTTTTGAATGTTCAGCTATTTTTTAGGTTGTAACAACCGTGCTTGAAGTCAAAGCCAGGGATTTCGATTCCAGTCGGGACTTGTTTTTTTAAAAGTGAAAGTTTTAGGCTAATTCAGAATTTGTCTGTCTGCTTTTTTTTGCCGGCTTAGTTCCCGCAAAAACGATTTTTTTTTTTGAAATTTCAGCTTTTTGTAGCATTCGGAAACCAATCTGTGAAGTTTTTATTGGTGCAGGCATATTTTTTCCAAGCATTTTGGGCTTTTTGCGATTTTTAAAAAATTTTATGACAACGTTTTTTGAAGGTTTTGTTTTAATTTTTGATTTTTTTTTCTTCATTTAATTTTAATCACGGTCATTCATTTTTGTATCGCAAATGGTGCGGAGCTTAGCTTCGCCTCTGTGTCTAAATTTGCTGCTTTTCATTAATAACTTGAAACAATAATTTGTATCATTGTTGTTATAGTTCCAGTAGACTTTTGTAGTTCTGCCACACCTGCCAATAGTTCTGACTTCTGATTTTAGATTAACCCCAAAAAGCTGTCACTATATGCTAAAGAATACTACGAGTTAGTCCAGAGAGAAGAAAGACTGAAAGATCCAATGGAAAGACTGAAAGTGAGTCAGCTCAAGTTTCATTTATCTAAAGAAAAAAGATTTTTAATATGTTATGAACCAAAAATTGCAATTAGTTTATTTTAAAAAGTAGTTTCGATTGACTTCAAAGATTTTTCAGGTCGCTGGAGGGTATGACTGAGTCCAAAGCGCTATAATTTTTTTTGTTTACTTTAATGGAAAAGCAATTAATTAATGCCTGAAGACTTCTTAGGAAAACCTACAAAACTTTTTATTGCTATGAAATTAAAGCTAATTTTAAAATTTAAATGCAAACCGGAATGTAACAGTTGCAGGCGATGAATTTAGCTTCACATAATGAAATATTGGTTTTTCCAATTTCTGAAAAATGAATGGTATGTAGCTGGAGCAGCAGGAGAGCCATTCGAAGATAATGTCACTGGAAGCAGAGGCGGTCAATTTGGCCAATGAGTTGGTGAGTGCTAAACTGGACTCCCAGAGGAAGTTGGAGACGGTGGAAGAGAAGGTGTCTCAGATCCAGAACATGTTCGAGAAGACTCATCAGGAGCTGGCTGAGATGCAGGACCAGAAGCAGAATCTAGAAACTGAAGTGCAGGAGGTCGGTTGAGCTTAAGATATAGTCTGTTATGAGCATGAGTCATACAAATTGAGTTTTTTTAACAGAAAAGTGACATCCCCACCACCATTTTTAAAATTTTCTATTTTTTGTTTAATGGCTGAACGCGTCTTGTTACGATGTGAGGTATTAAGAACAAATCGGCTCACAATTGCTAGGTTGTTCACCACGCCGAGGCTTCATTGCATTATGACTTCTTTAAAATAGTTTTTCAAAATTGAAAATCAAAGGTGGTAGAAAAATGCAAAGAGGTGAATTTCGAAAGTTAAAATTTAAAAAAAATTTTTTTTTTGGTTTCCTCGCGTTAATTGACTCTTCTTACTGTCTGCTGGCTTTGTTTATTTAAGCGTAGCAAATGCGGCAAAAAATTCGGCGGAGAAAATTGGAGGTCTTTACAGTTTTCACAAAAAAAGTTTTTTTTTTTAATTTGATGATAATTGCATCGAAGGACACTGATCATTAATGTCTTTACTCTGATATGAGCAGTGAAATTTTAGTTTTATTACCCTTGCGATAAGCAAGGGTATTGCAATCGGGTGCTAGATGTTTTTCTCGTAAATAACTATTTTTTACAGAATTGTCAATTTTGTAGGAATGGTAAATTTCAAAACATGCTCAATTTCTGAAAATTCATATAAAGCCACCTCATCGAAGTAATAAATAGGTGGAGCACGTTTCGGGCATTATTTATTTTTTGAAAGAAATATTTTGAAAAAAATGTCGAATTTTTTCAGATTCGTGGTTTTCGGCCTAGTTTCTGTCGGTTCAATTTCCGTTTTTTTCCTTTTGTTTCGACATAGGTCGGGAAGATTTTTTCCTTTTTTTAGGAAAGGTCTTAATATTTGTTCAGGCCAGAATTTATTTTTTCGCGGTTTGATTTTTTGGTTTCTTTAGCATCTGAAATTCAGTCATTTTTCTTTCATCTAAAGAAAAAAGATTTTTAATATGTTATGAACCAAAAATTGCAATTAGTTTATTTTAAAAAGTAGTTTCGATTGACTTCAAAGATTTTTCAGGTCGCTGGAGGGTATGACTGAGTCCAAAGCGCTATAATTTTTTTTGTTTACTTTAATGGAAAAGCAATTAATTAATGCCTGAAGACTTCTTAGGAAAACCTACAAAACTTTTTATTGCTATGAAATTAAAGCTAATTTTAAAATTTAAATGCAAACCGGAATGTAACAGTTGCAGGCGATGAATTTAGCTTCACATAATGAAATATTGGTTTTTCCAATTTCTGAAAAATGAATGGTATGTAGCTGGAGCAGCAGGAGAGCCATTCGAAGATAATGTCACTGGAAGCAGAGGCGGTCAATTTGGCCAATGAGTTGGTGAGTGCTAAACTGGACTCCCAGAGGAAGTTGGAGACGGTGGAAGAGAAGGTGTCTCAGATCCAGAACATGTTCGAGAAGACTCATCAGGAGCTGGCTGAGATGCAGGACCAGAAGCAGAATCTAGAAACTGAAGTGCAGGAGGTCGGTTGAGCTTAAGATATAGTCTGTTATGAGCATGAGTCATACAAATTGAGTTTTTTTAACAGAAAAGTGACATCCCCACCACCATTTTTAAAATTTTCTATTTTTTGTTTAATGGCTGAACGCGTCTTGTTACGATGTGAGGTATTAAGAACAAATCGGCTCACAATTGCTAGGTTGTTCACCACGCCGAGGCTTCATTGCATTATGACTTCTTTAAAATAGTTTTTCAAAATTGAAAATCAAAGGTGGTAGAAAAATGCAAAGAGGTGAATTTCGAAAGTTAAAATTTAAAAAAAATTTTTTTTTTGGTTTCCTCGCGTTAATTGACTCTTCTTACTGTCTGCTGGCTTTGTTTATTTAAGCGTAGCAAATGCGGCAAAAAATTCGGCGGAGAAAATTGGAGGTCTTTACAGTTTTCACAAAAAAAGTTTTTTTTTTTAATTTGATGATAATTGCATCGAAGGACACTGATCATTAATGTCTTTACTCTGATATGAGCAGTGAAATTTTAGTTTTATTACCCTTGCGATAAGCAAGGGTATTGCAATCGGGTGCTAGATGTTTTTCTCGTAAATAACTATTTTTTACAGAATTGTCAATTTTGTAGGAATGGTAAATTTCAAAACATGCTCAATTTCTGAAAATTCATATAAAGCCACCTCATCGAAGTAATAAATAGGTGGAGCACGTTTCGGGCATTATTTATTTTTTGAAAGAAATATTTTGAAAAAAATGTCGAATTTTTTCAGATTCGTGGTTTTCGGCCTAGTTTCTGTCGGTTCAATTTCCGTTTTTTTCCTTTTGTTTCGACATAGGTCGGGAAGATTTTTTCCTTTTTTTAGGAAAGGTCTTAATATTTGTTCAGGCCAGAATTTATTTTTTCGCGGTTTGATTTTTTGGTTTCTTTAGCATCTGAAATTCAGTTTATTTCCTTTGTTAGAAGGAAGACAAACTCCTCTATCGAACAGAAAAAGTGTGAAGGTCACAAAAGGGGTGATAGACTTCTAGTTTCAAAAGTGGAAATTATTTTCCAGATTTCTCGGTGAAACAAAAATTTAACTTATTGATCCAGTTTTCTCAAAGTGGGTTACTTTTATCAATAAAATGTCAAAGATAAATTGTCTTATATTTTCAAAGAGCTTTAAGGGCATCTATTTTTTTCCATGAAATTCGAAAGTTTTTTATTTGAATTTTGAGATTTTTTTCATAAAACAAGTCAGTATTTTTTTGTTTACTTGCGTTCATTGGCTCCTTTCTGTTGGTTATGTGTTTAATGGCATTTATTTTATCTACTACTAACTTCTATTGTCCTACTTTGTAAAGCATGGATTTAATTTCGTTTCTAAATATGTTTTTCTGTAATTCATATTTCATAATTGATAGTTCTGTAATTTTTCATTTTAATAATTCTGCTGCAAATCATTTTTTTTTTCGATTAAACGGTTTGGGCTGATTTCGTATCGGATAAGTCAACTTGTGTTGTGCACTTTCGAGGGCTTAAAAATTCCTGTCCGACTCAATCAGTTTTTATGAAAATGTGTGAGACTGGTTTTTTATTTTTACTTTTTTGAGAAGCTTTTGATGTTTTTTTTTTCATTTTTTTCGCAAAAGATGGTTTTCGGTAGAAAGCGACTCTTTCTAATATTGAAAAGAGTATCAATTGGAAGATCGTCCACTCATATGTGTTTCTGCATACTCCTCTAGTCTGTTTTTCGCTACTGTTCTGTCTACAGCCTTCGAAATGTCCGCGGGGGAGTATTTGACCGTGGAGGATTTTTGTCTCAAAAACTACTCCCCCAAATCGGAGATTGGGGCTCAATGAATAAAATGGTTGTATTTCAATGAATAAAATAGTTGTATGAAGCTGCCCTGCGCGTAAGCGGTTACGCTAAAACTTTTTACACGGAAATTTATGGCTTTCAGAGTAGTCAGATATTTGACTTTTTGATGTTTTTTTTTAATTCTTTTTGACTTTTCTCGAAAACTACTCTGCCAATTCTTAACTGTTAATTATTCACTCGTTAAGTATTCAACCAAGAAAGCTAGTTTTGGGAGTTTTTTTCTGCTCAAGCGACCAAGACCTTCATTTTGCAGAAAAACGTTATGAATTTCGGAAAATCAAGTTTTCGAATTTGTGACTGATTTTTAGAAAGTTTTGACTTTTCTCAGAAACTAACTTATCAAGCCTGAGATAAAGCTGCAATCCAAAAAACGGGTTGCAATTATTTTCCTACAGAAGCAGCGACTCCTAGTTTTTTGTAAGAAAAATGTTATGTCTTTTGGAATTTTCAGTCTTAATTATTTTAGTAGAGAAAAACTAAGCTTTTGGACAAACTCCAATTTTTGAAATAACGCATTTCATCCCGCACCAGTGTAACAAATTCTAAAAATATCAAACAGCTAGCTTTAGCTGGGCGACTAGTTCTTTTTTTATCGAGACATACGAACATTTTTGTTCGTCCAGTTTTTTCGACTTCTTTTGTTTTAGTTTTGTATTGTATCGCAATTGGTGCGAAGCTCTGCTTCGACTCTGTATTTGAGCCTTTGTTTCTGTCTTCTTTTAAAGTTATGTAATTTCGTTAATTTCTCCAGTTTAGACTGCTGCGCAAACAGTTAGTTACAACAGTTTTGGTGTCTTTTTGGTTATACCACCCTAAATGAGGAAGAATGAAGATGAAATTTTATTTCAGTTGTATCTGCACTTTTCAAAAGTGACAGTTTTCACGGTAGGGCGAAAAAAAACGAGGCAATTTTTTTATTTAATGTATGCTCAACGGGTCCTGTTCTACATGTCTTAAAATGCGTTCTGTATAGTGTAATTCTTATTAAGAGTCGATGAACTTAGAGACTCTTATCTTGGTCGTTTTTTTTCCAGGAAAAGTCTTTTAATTTGTTCATGCTCAAAATTGATGTTTCGCGGTTTGCATTTTGATTTTTAAAGTTCAGTTCATTTCTTCTGTTAAAAGGAATGCAAACTCCACCAACGAACAGTAAAAGGTCATGACTTCTAGTTTCGAGTTTAATATTCAGAATTTCCAGTGAAATAAAAGTTTTATTTATTGATCCAGTTTTCTCAAATTGGGTTAGCGTTATCAAAAAAGGTCAGCGATAAATAGGAATTCTATGATTAGTAAGGGCATCTATTTTTTTCTTTGAAATTTGAAAGTTTTTTTTCTGTTTAATTGCGTTCATTGACTCTTTTCCAACTGTCAGTTCGCTGTTTTTCAACCTACCTTGCGATTAACAATGGTATGGCAGTCAAGGATTTTTTTCCGTAAATAACTTTCTTCATATGAATCAGCTCCTGGATTCATTCATCTTCTGGTCTTCTCTGTTGAAAAACTTCAACCAAAATTATTTGAGCATGTCAACGTTTTTTAAGTATCAGTTGTATTTGGTTTTTTGTATTAGTTGTAATTTTACCAACTGGATTCGTTTAAATTTCGTTTTTTCATTGTCCTGTTTTTCAGCCTAATAGGTTTCGGCCTATATTGTTACGACTTAGTTTTATCATATTGCGCTGTTTGATTTGCATTTTTTTTTGTTTTTTTTTGAGGGGGAGGCTGGATTTAAATGAAATTTAAAATAAAAAACTTCGATTTTTTTTCTTCGTTTTTTCCACGTTATCATCGTTCGAAGTCCTCTTTGCTAATTCTTGAGTATCATATTGTTTTAATCCCATACATGTTTTATCGCTAGTGGTGCGAAGCTCAGCTTCGCCACTGTGTTGAAAAATTCCGAAGTCATAAAAATTTCTGGCTCACTGCCCCTGCAGTGGTCAAAAAAGCTGTGTTCCCTTAATTTTAACCCAAATATATTCAATTAGGAGTTGGGTTTTCTTAAACTTCAAACAGGAATGAAATGCATTTTTAAATTTTGTTTTCAATCGTAGTAATTTTTCTGAAAAATGAATACAGCTCGTTTCGACCCTCAAACAATCTACGAAAACCGTTCTAATCTAACTTCAATTTTCTATGCATTGGAATTTGTAGCAAGTTTAATCATTATTTACTAAGCTAGCCTTCTTTTTTCAGCGAAAGAACTCGTTGAAGAATAAACTGACATCAGTGAGGAATTGCTTTCTGTTCATCAAATTGATTAGCTGCTATGTCCAGTGTCTTATGTTTTTTTGAGGTCATAAATGTCCCAATGTATATAAAATCAATGTATATCTCGAAACCTTGTGCTTGAATAAAGCACCAAAACTACCCTGACATTTTCATTGACTTGTCCTTTTTGCCAAAAGTTGATTGCATGTAAAATGACTAAACTTGAAATCAAAACGACACACGAAAAACTTGAAATTACACTTAAAAAGCTTTTCAAAATTACCATCAAAATCAGTGGTGGATCTAGGATTTTTCGGAGGCGTAATTTTTGATTGACGAAATGATTTTCCTTGCTCGCCTTTAATTTTCTGCTCGCTCCCAAAGTTACCCTATTTCGACCTCAGATTACTTTAAATTACCTTATATTGGGTCGGATGGCCAAAAATTGAGTCGTTTGTAAAATAGTACCAAAGAGGGAAGGGAGCCTTTTGGGTGGCAGAGAATGAAAATAAAACCCTCCTCCCAAATCTGCCCCTGATCAAAAATATCTGCACCAATATTTACCCTCACCTGTTTATCGAGAACAGTGTTTGTCATAAAATTATTCAAACAGGCGTGAGGTGTTTTTTTTGCTTGGGGAAAGGATACCTAGCTGAAACTGTGAACAATTTACATTTTGGTTTCACGCTTTCCGGTAGCAATTAGCAATTTTTGATAATGTTTTCAGCATAGACTTTTCTGCTTCTGTTTTGTTCAGTTTTGTTCTGTGTGATAATAATGTCAATTTTTGTGAAGTTGTTTCACTAAGTTTTCTGAAATTACAATTGGTTGACGTTTCAGTTGAAGAAGATAGTGACTAAGTCGACGAATGAGACGAATCAGCAGAGAGACATTGTGGCCGAGTATCGCAAGTTGTGCTCACGATTAGAACAGGAACGAGACGCACAGACCAAAATAGTGGACACTCTCAAAGTGAGAAACTTGTTTAGTACACATAGTTTACCCTGCAAGCAACCGATCAAATCAACCCAGGCTCAATGTTTCAAACTAAACAACTTCCAAATAACTGCTCACCCTCGAAGAAAAATTTTCAACTTAATTGCATGAAAACTTCAGAAATTCGGCAGATAGTCGGCAGTTCCGTCAGAGAGTAGTATTGTTGTACTCTTTCAGCAGTTTTACGAACATTGTTTGGTCAAAAACCCAGCCATCGTCAGAGTGGCTTTCGTTTTTCTTCCAACGTTAAAATTATTAAGCAACTGCTGAGCATCTTTGATTCTCAATTAGGAAAATTAGGCAGCATGCGTTTAATATTCATATGAATAGCTTTGTGCAGGATTTGTTTTTCAGTTTTTCCCATTAAAAATTGATTGCTATCATTAGCCTTGCGATAAGCAGGGGTATTGCAATCGGGTACTAGACTTTTTCCCCCGGAAACAACTTTGTCCACAGGATCCTCACTTCTAGAGGTTCTTCACTTCTAGAGGATCTTAGCCAATCGACTTAGCCAATTTATTGTGCGTAATTTTTAAGGTCTGTGTATGAACTTCATCTAAATATATGAAGTTTCTTCAGCTGTAATTTTTGTCAAGTTATTTTTTCAAGTAATTTTTTCCAACATAACTTTTTCTAAGTTTTTTCATTCACTATTTTTCAGCGCAATCTTTTTATTGCATCGCAAGTGTTGCGAAGCTCCGCTTTGCCTCTGTGATTCCAAATTGATGTTGGAGCTCGATTAGAGAAAAAGTGGAAGTAAAAATTAACAAGCTGAATATGGAAATTCAAAAGGAACTTTTATTTTTGAAAACAAAGGGCATTTGGTCACACTAGTAATAGTGCGTTCGTATGAGAGCGTTTGCAAAGATAAAAATGAATGGTCGAAAAAAACGGCATGCAAAAAGATCGCTTGCGAAATTGGGTAAAGTGACTTAAAGTTGAAAAAAATTTTAGGATGTGGCAACGCAGTGCTCTAATTGCAAAGAAAAATGCTGCGAACTCTTGTCGTCAGGTGACTCAGAGAACCCTAACAGTGCAAACGGACACAGTAACCAAAATGCAGTCAAATCATCGAGAGACTCTGAATCAGAATCCCTACACATGGAACAAGAGCTCGCTTTGACTAAATTGAGACTAGTGGAAGAGCAAAGTCAAAATCAGCAACTAGAACACGAAGTGGCCGAGTTGAAACAAATGGTAGCAGCTATGAGTCAATCGGCCAATCAGAGCGCTTCTTCAGCTACTCAATGGCTGTTGAAGAGAACACCAAACTTCCTGTCGCGCAACACGACAGGGAATCAGGGATCAATTTCCGGCCATGACCTAACCTAATTTGCTGTGAATTATGCTATCATAATGATGCCAAATTATTTAACTTGTCAGTGTGCTCATCAGCACACAACGTTTGCAAATAGAACCCTCAAATTATTATTCTCCTAAATTCTGTAAATTATCTATTTCATTGCAGCATAGTATTGTATGAGAAGAAGTGAAGAATGTCTATTTTCCAATTGTAATGTACAATGAGTTCCTTTGATTGTGCGAAGGCTAAATGGCGTCATGCTACTCAATTTAGATTTTAGGCCAGTCAGTTTGTATCGCAGAGCGACTCTGTAGGCGTCAGTTTTTGGGGTTGATCTTATGAAACTTATCGAGCAACAATGTTGGGAAATTTTTTTGAGTATCAACTAATCATAAGCCAAGAAGAGGTTATTAATCTAGAAGAAACATTGATCATTTGATTTAATCATTTCGTTTGTTGACCACTTTATGAATTTGGAAGTAGAAGGACGGAACTATGGAGTCGTTCGATGTTTCATTCAAATGATTTTAGGTATCCAAAAAACTTGTAACAAATCTAATGGGTTAAAATTTCAAATCCATTATGAAGGTAAGGTGGTCAAATAGTTTTTTGCTGAGAAATTAGCACGATGAATAAAAAACGATAGCTTGTTTTTCCCTCCTCTTTTCCCCTCCTCTTGCATTCACTTTTGTCCGGGAGGAAAACAAAACTAAAGCAGTATATTTTTCCTGGATTTGAAAATGAATTATGAATTGCGTTTCTCTGCGCTGAACCGAATAAGTGGTTCACTATTTGGCTATGTTTTATAGGAATGGTAATTGCATTAAACAAAAGCTTTTGCCTATATCGCTGTTTTCCCAGGTCGTGTTGGTATGTAGGCAGTATTTCAAGACTAAAGAAAAACAATGGAAAAAAAAACGAAACAATTATGTGTAATTCGGAAAAAAAACGTGTTTTAAATGCCAAAGCGTGTTTTCCTGAAAAAAAAATTAATTTAAAACCCTGTCATTTACATACGGTTCGATTCCAAAAAAAATTCACAGAGCAGATGCAATTGAGCTTGGCACTAAGATTTTTAATGCAGTAAACAAAAAGTTGAAGGGTAGTTTTATCTGTAAATTCTCTATGCCAAAAATGCATTTTCAGAGATTTTCCATTAATAGTTATAGTCGGCGCAATCTGCGCTTCTTGCATAGGAACGAACCCTTTTTCTTGTTTAGAAATGGATTTTCCTTTGAAAAAAATTAAATTGTGTAATTGGAACTTCTTAGCCATCTGCATAATTATAGAATACGCGTGCAGTTCGTGTTCTTTTCAGATTGTACCATCATGCATCTTCTACGGCAGCTTTTGATTTGCACAAACTGTCTTCTGCTTACTCTGACTGCCATTTTTGTCTCAATTGTCGGATTCTTAATATTCTCCAGTCGCGAGGAACTAGATTGGATTGCCTCACCATCCACACAGAACTACCTGGTGTACATTCTAGTAGGGTTCATCTTACTCGTTGTTCTCACTGCCTTTTTCGGTTTCGTCGGATCCCTCAAGTCGAGCAAACAATGCATGTTTCTCTACATTTCGTTCCTGGCTATGGCGATTACGTTCGAACTGGCGACAGGAGCGGTGCTCTTCCGATATTACACGAAAGGCGAGCTCCGAAATGTCGGCGAAGAGCTCATGTTTCAGTCAATGGAGAAGTATACCAAGGACAAGACTGTACGAACTTTGTGGAATGGGTACCAGTCTAAAATGGAATGTTGTGGAGTCACTGGATTCATGAACTGGTGGAAGTATACTGTGAAACCTCCGATGTCATGCTGCAGAAAGCACTCCGAGTTCGGAGAGGTAACTTCAAATTTTGTTATTATTGTATACCTGTTGCTCCAGTCGCGTGCGCTCGATTTTTTTTTTACTTTAGTGAGCTAGAAATAGGATTTGAAAGCGTTTGTTGGTCTTTTTAGGTCGTTTCATTTTTGAGCTATAGTTTTTTTTGCAGGTATATTTGTGGTTGGAACTGAACAGTTTTCATGAAAAATACCAGGCTACGCATTTTTTACACCGTCGAGCTAGCGATTCATAGTGCTATATTGCTTTTTTTCCAACACGATTCGCAATTAAATGTGTTCATGTTGAACTTTGTGGCTCTTTAGCTGACATATGTGGCTCCTTTGCTAACATACAGTGCTGATTTAAATTATCCGGACAAAACAAACAAAACTTGAATTTTCAAACGCGTTTTTCTCAAATTGGGTTAAAATTAGACAAAAACTGAAGAGAACAAAAGTTGCTTAGAATTTCATCAAAATTAATATGGTGCAATTTTTTCTCCGAAATTCTCAACCAAAATTTTACCCCAAAAATGGGTCATTTTGGTTTTTCCAATTAATCAAGAATTACACTGAAACTACTTTGATGAGAAAATTATATCACAAGAAGCCTCCTACATAGCCCTACAAAGTTTAAGAAGAGATAAGCTTAACTTTTTAGAGCTATGTTTCGCTGTTTTTTCGCTTGTGTTTGGTAGTGCCTCTTCCTCTGTGTTAAACTTCTGGTTGATCTTATTAAAATATTTTATTGATTTTGGTAGAGTGGTTTTCTTTTATTTATAGTCTTATAGTTTGCTCACGTCGAATTTATATTTTGGCAGTTTGCGCTTTTTGCCTGTTTTCCAAGATTTATTTTCCATACGCAAACATCTGTGCTACTGAACCAATTTAATTGGTGTAAAAAACGCAGTGATTTCTTCATAAAGGTCATGACAATTTTTGGTAAAATGGCGCGAAAAACCATTAACAACTTCTAGTTTTGAAAGAGGTTTTTAATTTAATGATTGCCAAGCGGAAGACTTAATCATCGATCCAGTTTTCTTAAATTGGGTTAATTTAATTGTGTCGACTCGATATATTTTTTTATTCGAAAGTTGAAACTAGTTAAAACATTTTCAATCCATTTTTTTTCACTGTTGGGCATTTCAATTTTTATAATCCTACACGGACAACAGTGCTAGACAAGTTTGTGCTCAATTCCATTGGCAAGCGATTTAGTAGCATCTGTTTGATATGTTTAAGTAAAACGCCTGGTTTTAATTATCAGATCATTTCTAAACTCTAATGCAGAAATGACACTCAATCTCCAGGTCGGGGTTTGATTCCTGCACAAGTTGAAAGTTTGTTTTCTTATTTTTACTTTTCCCACTTTTTAACCTTATTGAAACTTTGTACACTGTTGTCACAAGTGTCTCCATGTGAGGAACTGGACTTTTTTCCCGTAAAAATGTTTTCTTACAAATCTTACTTGCTTTTGTATTGAAACTTATCAACTTCCAGGTTCGTACCCACTTGGCCTATAGGTTACGTGGGCGTCGTTGCAGCCTAAGGGCTAGGGTTTGAGGCCCGGTTGGGCCTTATTTTTTTTTAGTTTATGAAATAGAATTTTTTTTCGGTAAAAATTGAATTGTCGGACTTTCGTTGGTCTGCTCAAGTTTTGTCACACCAAGTTTTTTCAAGCTTAGTTGCCTCATTACAGATTTTCCTTGTGCTCTAAGCAATTTTCATTTTTGTTGCAATTGTAGTTCATTTTAATATTAGGGCGGGCTTTTAAACAAAACTATTTTTGTCGCCTCAACTGGTGTCTTCTCAAGGATCGTCGGCTTTGTTTTCGCCGCGGTAATTTGCTAATTTTGTTGTCGAATGTTTTGCTAGGGCCCGTTTTTTCAGAATGTAGTTTTAGCGAGACACTAGAATTTTGGTACACCCAGTTTTTCTCAACGTTTTTTTCTACTTTTTTGACTTTTTATGATTGCGTCATCTGAAGGGCATAATACACTTAGTGTTTTTGATATTTTTCGGATGTGTTTTTATAATGTCGCCTAGTATTTAATTTAGATCATGTGTAATTTCTTTAAACCAGTCTCCGTGTTTTCTTTTCTGTTTCCAATTTGCTGCTGGCGATGTTTTGACTCATTAAATGGATTTTTAAGCTTATTGTTTCTGTTGTTTGCGAGAGGTTCTGTAGGGCGGAGGTTTGAAACCCATTTGATCAAATTTAATTAGAAGAATTTTGCTTTTTTTTGCAGCCTCGCCTCTGTGTTGAACCTAAACTGGTTCAAGTTATATTATATTGTAGATATGCGGCGCACAAGGATGGTACATGACTGGATGTCTGGACGCCACTATGGGTGCGATCGATGGCCAGGTGTTGGTTCTGCAGATCTCATATTTCACTCTTCTCGTAACACATGTCGTACAGATGATGATCGCTTGCTGTGTTTTGAAAGCGATCAACCACGACACGGAATATGTGTAGAAGATTACAATTTACATTAGTGCAATATATAAAGACAACCAAAATGCAATATTTGAGTTTTTGTAAAAAAAAATATTAGAAACTCACTCGAGATTTGAAATTTTGTTTATATATATATTGAGTTTATATGGCACTTTATCCTACGAGAATATGAAATCGACCTCTGAGTCATATTTTTTCAGCATCTGTGTATCGAGGAAATATCATCTTAAACACGAGTCGAGCTCATGTTCTCAATGAACTAAGTGTTGAAGCATAAATGTTTGTTAAACTTTATAAAGAGGTATAATAGTTTAGTTCTAAGTTGATAAATATGCTAGCTAGAGTACTGACAATTTCTTCAATCAACTGATAACAATTACTACCAGTGATGATGTAACTTAAACTGTGCCACATAATCTGATATATCGCTGAAACTAGAATCGGGGCATGCTTCGTGTAAATTCAACAATAGTGGACGATGCTGGAAATGGAGTTTCAATTACTAACAATAACATGCAATAAGGCAAAAAATGTCAAAGACTAATAGATGAAGTGGAAAATAAAGTCATTTATAATTATTTTTGTAAAATAGTGTCGTGCGCGTTGAGCTTAATCAAATTTCGTGTTTGCCCTAGTGATTATTAGTGATTCAGCATTAGTAATTCCTTGTAACGAGTAATTCCTTTTTGTCAATTTTTGCCAATCCACTTTTGTGAATGGCTGCAAAAGGTCGGAATGCATTTGGTGGTTCATTCAAACCGGAATCTGTGTCCGCCAAATTCACTTTTAATCGTAAATGTGTAATTAAAGTCTTACATTACAATGCAACCATAGCTATGGTCAATTTTCGAAATCGAGGAGAGTTACTCAACAGGATTGCGTGCAGTTGGTGAAATCAGTTTGGTATCAAGTGCTAAGGACGAATTGAACCATCAAATAATCAGATAGTTTTCTTAAATTTTTTTTTCAGTGAAAGTTCTTAAGGAAAGTTTTTTTTTTATTTTTCGGGCAATTAGTTGTTTTCTTCTGGCTTTTTGAGTTCGCTTTAACTTGCATTTATCTGTTGGCTATGTCTTGAATGCGTATTCCTTTTTAGTTAGTATTGAATATAAAAAATTATTCGTAAATAGTTAGTTTAAATGAATACCATAAATACTTGCTGCAATTTTTTTCTGAATTAGGCTTTTATTTAAACTGGAGCATCAGAGAATAGCAATTGATTCAAGATGAGAACCTTAAAATCTCTCAAAAAATAGTTAGAAATAATTAATTCGTTATGGCGTGGCTCATTAAGCTTACTTGCTATTCCGATTTCAGAAGGGTGTGGTTTCATTCTATCCTGTGTATGTCTGTCTTTTCTATCCTACGTATCTGCCCTTTCTAACACTACAAAACACAACTAATCATCCAAGCATCAATCAATCATGAAGGAACTGGGCCATCTCAAACTCGTTCACTTTTTTGTCTCAGCCACCTTCGGTGCCATCATACCATACCTACCGGTGTTGTTTATCTGCAGTGGGGTCGGTTTTCTCAAAAGTGGTATTCTCCTTTCGCTCCCGCCACTGATTGGGTTAGTGTCGCGACCCCTTTTGATGTCGATGATTGAAAAATTTGCGTTTTTCAAACCAAGTTTGGTCATCGGAATAGCACTGAACACATTCGTACTGCTTTTACTTCAAACCATTCACTCTGATATGCAATGTTTTGAAACTCCTTCGACGACTAAAGTTCAGGGACTAAGTGATAAGTTTTGCTACTTGCAAACTGGGGACGAAAACTTGAGTTGTAATTACAACTTCAGTGTTATTTCGGACAGAAGCCAAGATCCTAATTACAACAATCGAGTTAATTTGAACTGCTGTTTTTACAGCAAGAAAGTTCCAAGTGGTAACCAAAAATTACAAGACCAATGCTTTGCGCCATCAACCAATAATATTAGCGGGTTATTCTATCCAATTGAGAGTCAGCAAATTTCATGCAAAAGATGCAGCGATGTTTTCTCCGATGATCAAATTGTTTTCTCCGATATCCAAAACAAAACTTGCGATCGCCAAACCAAAGCAACCAATCAGAATCACTCAAATCCATTCACGCAGTATGCGGTTATAATGACAGCCTACAGTGTTTATTCATGCATCATATTACCAGTTTTGGACACTTTGTCGATGCAATATTGTAGAAATTTACCTGACTCTGATTTCAATATGCAGAAACTATGGGCAACCGCTGGTTTTGGTGGAGCCGCATTTTTATCCTCAATTCTTCTTTCATTCTCAGAATACGTTAAATCATTATCTATCTTCAATGGGTTTGCGCCATTCATACCATTTTCAGTGTTTTCAATCATCTGCTTAATCTTGACAAGCTACTTCAAGTTTCCACAACCTACACCTACGGCACAACTGAATTTCGGCCTGAACACTCTAATACAAAGTGGAGAGTCTCTGGTCTTCGTAATCGTGATGACGATTCTCGGATGCTTACAAGGCATGCACAGCGTTTTCTTCGTCCTGTACCTACTGCAGCTAGACGCATATTTTATTTATATAGGCATTGCATTTAGCATGTATGCGTTGCTGGATCTAGTTTTATACTTCAGTCGTAGAAAGTTAGTTTCGTTATTGGGACCAAGGGCGGTTATTTACTTCGCGCTCTCAACTTACTTCGTCCGGTTTTATCTATACAGCTGGGCATCGAATGCTCTTATTATTTTGCCAGTCGAATTATTGCACGCTATTTGTTTTTCGGCAATGTGGTACGCGTCAATTGACATGGCGTCCCAAATTGCGCCTATGGGATTGAGCGCCGCGTTTCAATCAATGGTTTCAAACTCCTATTGGCACGTCGGAGTTGGATTAGGAGCTGTGATTGGTGGATTTCTGTACGAGGAATTCGGTTGTACAGTTCTGTGGAGATCAGCAGCTTTTGCAGCGCTGGGAACTGGAATATTATACGTTATTTTTACTCATATATTGCAACCGTTCTTGTCAGGACGAGGATGCTTCCCGGCTTCAGTTGCGGCGGATACTCAAGATTTTTTTGAAGATGACCTCGATGACCTTTTGGACAATGACATTGCACCGTTCCAGAACTTCACTTCAGACGAAGAGTACCTGATATTGGACGCTCCTGGAGACTACTCAATTGTAAACAGCAAAGGGGAGAAGTTTGTCACTCCGGAAAGAGATCCCACGGGTGAAACTATTGCGGCTGCAAACAGAGGTCAGCTGAATCAAACACTGAATGCAGCGGGTCGCCAGAGTCAAGCGCCGCCTGGCAATGGGCTAATCGTTAACAGGGACGATAGATTTACAATTGAAGATATAAATGTCTAAAAATATGAATTTTTAAAATTGTTTTGCAGTATATGCGAATTTTATGTGCTAATTTCCTGTGCAACTAGATTTAATTAAAGGGCAATATTTATGTAGATGTTAAGTTGTTTTATTTGAACCTTCCGTCGATGTTTTGAAGTTAATCAGAACTCAAGTGTTTGGTGTCTTATGCAACGAACTAAGTGGCTGGTTTTCTTGTCTTTGGATAATGAAACAATACGCTTGGATCAAATTGCGATGAAATGAGGAATACCTGAAAACATCTTAACAATTAAGGGAAACTTGCACTACCTCAAGTACACCTTAACGTACCTAAAACACCTTAAAAGTTAAGGTGTATCAGCCTTGAAAAATACCCTAAAACTGTTTTTACAGGTAAATTTACCGTACAAAAGTAGGTAAAATACCTATTTTTACCGTAAGTTTAAGGTGCATTTACCTTATGTTTTTCACTGAAAAATACAAAAGTTAAGGTAAGTTAACTGAAGTGATGCGGTAAAAAACCTTAGAAATGAAGAAAATTAAGGTTAATTAACCTTAGCAATTCAGGTTAATTTACTTTAAATTTTTTATTTTGTGTTCAGTAAGTATAAGTAAATTACTTATTTTTTCTAGGGTAATTTTTTATGGTAAATTTTTTAAGGTTAACTTTTAAGGTAAATTTAGCTATAAAAATGTTTAAAAGTGTTTTTTTTAAGGCTGATACATCTTAATTTTCAAGGTGGTTATTAAGCTGATTGATGAACTGGAAACATCAACTAGTACAAAAACAACAATCAAATATATCTGCTTATAGTTTGAACAATTAACTAAACTGGAAGAATTTATTTTAGCAAAGTTAACTAACTTAAAAAAATTCAACAAACATCAAACCAGCGATAATTACAGATGATCCACCCACAAATCTTTCGAAGCTCAACTGTTATTCTAAATTAACAAATTTATTGCCTATTCAAGTTATGGTTTTGGCTTGACTCTGATTGCAAGTCAGCCCGAAAAGGTTTCAACTCCAAACCAGAGTCAATTCAAAGCCATTAACTTCTGACAGAGACTTGAGAAATTGAGAAAACCGCAAGGCCTTAAACAGAATTGCAATTTGAAATAAGTAAGATTAAATAATTATAGGGGTTAACGATTAAATTTAATCACAAAATTATGAAATATGGATTAGTATGAGCAACGTGCGCATGGTTCCGGTTAAAGAAAGATTTCAAAGTTCCGGTTTAAAACATTAAACACAAAAGTGAAACATAATGGCCATGGTTTCACGTTAGCCCGACAAGGTTGCAATTTCAAACCAGAATCAGTATCTGATGCAATCTAAGAAAGTGAAGGAGTTGAAGCAGGCAAGGAGTTGTGGATTGCATAAAAAATAGTCCCTTAAAACTAAATTTTGTCGAATGTAAACTGCTTGGATTTTAAAACTAAACAAACAGCTTTTTCTTTCATTGAGAAAACGATGACCTGAAAACAGCATTCCAATGAATCTGTTTTAAGGCTAAATAATGCTCAGTTAAAGGTTGTTTCAAAGCAAACATCTAAGCAGAGCAATTTCTAGCAAACATCAAGTAAGTGATAAACAAGATGATCAATCCGAAAAGATTTCGAACCTCAATTGTTCATTTAGTTTTAAAAAGTTAGTAGTTATTTAAATCATGCTTATGCCTTGACCCTGAATGCAAGTAAACACGAAGAGGTTTCAATTTCAAACTGCGTCAATTTTAAAGGTACTAATTTTTGAGAAAACCCTTAGGCCATAAAAAGAATTTCAATATGAAATAAAAAAAGCTTGGTTAATAAATGTCTTTACGGTTAACTTCAATTAAGTTTGAATGTCGATTAGCTAGAACAAAATGTGAATGATTCCATTCAAAGTGCGATTGCAAAGATCTGGTTTAAATTATTTACACAAAAGGGAAAAGAAATGACGACGATTTCATTTAAACCCGACAAGGATTAAACCTCAAACCAAAATCAAACTAAAATTTATGACTTGCAATTTAAGAGAAAGACTGCAAAGCACAAAAACAGTCCTTCTATCTGAAAGATACAATGTGAGAAAGGCACATTTTAGGCTTTAAAATTAACATCTTGACAACACATGTTACAAAGTGAAAATACTCGAAACCAAAGAAAGAAGCTTTTATAATATAATGGGTACAATAACTGTGACATAGATCCTAATAAGCCTGAAATTTGTTTCAGACGTTTTCTCTTTGTGTTTTTCAGGGTATTTTGAATGGAAATAGAATTGATAATTTCTTTTGAATTACTTATCTTTTTTGAATGATGTTTTATGTATTTGAATAAGTAAGCAATACAATTGTATAAAGTCAACAAACATTTAAGTTACGACAAAATCAAGCTGTTCTTAGGGTTTTGTAAAAAAAAGAAATGAAAATAAGCAGCTAGATCATTTTTATGATTTTTGTGTTTACCTTTGTAGGTTTTGCAGTTTTGGAATCATAGCCATAAAATATGAATTTTGCTGATTTTCGACTTTTTTTTTGAAATTATGATGAAAATTCAAAACGTGACTAAAGATTGTTTCTGCGAGTATTACTTTTCCTTCGTAGCGAGTCATTCCATCTTAATTTTACAACAGTTGGCCATTAATTTTGCAAATCTGCCAAAATCTGATGGTTTCATATGGTAATGGTAATGTCCGTCGTCTCTGAAAGTACAAAAGAAAAAGTGTTGTATATATTTCAATCAGAGTCTAAAAATTTCTTTACTTTTCTGTTGATTAGTCTCGCAGCTTCCGAATTATGGTCATTTCTCTTTTCCATATATTTTCAATGCCTTATCCGGTATAAAAAAAATCTTTTTTCCAACTATTTTTACAATATATAATAATCGCACAGTTTCTGGATAAAGAGATTGCAATTATCGAGAGCAATTTGTTTAATTTACTGTTTACGACTGTATTAAGATGTTTAAATAGATCGAATTCTTTCCTAGCATTATAAGCATATTTCATCCAAAAAGTCTATAAATTACAGCCATATTATAAAATATATATTGCAGCATGCTAAAAATTTCTTTCTCTTCCTGCTCTTGGGGAGCTAGTAGTGTAGGTGGGCATTAAGTTTTCGGGCACTCTTAATGGCACTGTAAATGTCAATTAAAATTACAACAGTTGAAGTTATTAACACAACAAGAGCTAATTTGAGCTACTACTAAAGGATTCATAATTTATTAACTGCAAGACGGTTGTTTAGGACAATGTGAAAAAAGCGAGAAAGACGCTAGAAAGCAATGATGCAGCGATAGTGGATGAAAATCCAAAAGTTCTGCATGGCGTTCAATTTGGTTGTTATCTTTTTGGCGCTGATTTAACAAAAACGATCGTGAAACGATCACAATATTCTAGTATGAGTTGAAAAAAATCCAATCAGTTGAGCTTAGAATTCCTTTGATGTTAAAGGGTCAGCATTTTCAAAATATAATATAGGCACATCATGAGCTGAGTATCGTGTACCTTGTACTAAAAGACTTTGAGATTTGAAGACCTCATTGTTTGGAAAGTTTTCAGGTTAAAAACAATGGGCTAAGTCTTCAGACATTGTAACCATCTTTCCATTTGGAAAACGTTCGCTTTTTTCTGAGAAGAAACTCGGGCTAATCAAGAAATTGACTTAACTGATGTCTACCAACTTTACCCCTACATATTTTTTTTCAAATCAATGTTGTTGTTGGTTATAAATTCTGTAAAAATGTTTTGTTTCGTATTTCAGAATACTTCGATATAAAAAGGGTCCTGATGTTTTAAGGCGAGGGTAATGGATCAGTTTGCGCTGATTGGAAACTATGGACTGCGATGGATGCATCTCCCTGAATGCAGCCACTTGTTGGTCTAAACAATAACTTCATTTTTTCTTTGAGTAAAAATTTGCTGTGCTGAAAACAAATTATTAAAACAAAACTTACCAATTAAAACGCATAGAAGTAAAAAAAAAAGCCGGACTCATTAAAAAAGAAGTAAGATCGAAATATTCTAACAAAAACAACCATGTATCATACATTACCGGCATAAAGTTATCAAAGAAAAAGCAGTAAATGGCATAGAGTAAACATTTGGTCATACTTCTGCTCAAAGTTCCCGGCACTTTTATCCTTAACCCTGTCATAGCTAACTTCTGACGGCTTCCTGTCAATATCACTACCGTATCCAAAATGACTAATCCTACAATTTTCATTAGTAATTGTCAAGTAATCAGGATTTAAATTATTCGAGACAACTCTTGAAGTGTGCATAAGACCGCCTTGGAATATGTCATGTTCTAAATAACCTGTGAAATTTTCATATTGGTTAAAGAAATTTTTCTAAAATTCGAAAACAAGCTTGACACCGTTATGCTTCTGCTCGACAGTTTCAAAACAACTATTTCTGGTCGGGCTTCTCAACTCATCAAAACATTCTTCATGTCTATCTTTAGACATGGATTGAGGAATTAAACACTTAGCAACAGCTATCCGCAGAAAAACTTTCCTAAAAACCATTATATGTCAAATTTGTCAGCCAAAAAAGTCATGCCATTGTCAAACAATATTTATTCCTTTATAGTTTCCATTGCTATTTCAAGTTGTTTGAGATCTTCACTTATTGCATTTAAATTTTCCCGAAAACCAAATTCTACTGTCAAGGTAGGCAAAAAACGTAACAATATGCATCATGCGCATGTCAGATGAAATCCATGGGAGAGCTTGCACAATGTCAAATTAAAACAATCTAATTTATGAATTTTGATTCTTGTTCCAATGGGATTAATCGGCTCAACTTCGTCAAAATAGAATCGCAGATTTACGTCTAAAATGTTATGTTAATTGGAATCAGGATTTGAAGCTTCAATATTAGGTAAGTCCAGTACAGCCAGATTTGTATTGAGTTAAAAACGTTTTTCCGTTTGCACATTTTGTACAAGATTTCTGTCGTTGCCTAATTTACCCAAAAACTTACTAATCGAAATGGAAACACTTGAGAATTAGAGATGAATTGACCACTTTTTTGATTTTCACGGTAAACAGTCGCACCTCCTATGTTTTCCGACTCAAACTTTAAATTGTTGACATGGCATATGATTTTTTATTTTGGTTTCTAATATAGCACCACGATTGCTTGGGTTTCTTCGATGACTTGGTTGCACGGAAGCATAAAAAGGACCGGGTTTGGGGTGTGTGACGGAATAAAATAGCAAAATTTGATTTAATAGACTGAGCATCCTGGCCGGCTTCAGACGGTCCTAACAAAAAAATCGGGCTTTGATGATGGGAGGTTGAAGTTGTGCCATTTGCAGACAGTCGAAGCCGTCAGTCGAGTCCACCACTGTAAGGTGGTACGTCTGGACCCGGAAAAGTGTGTTTACTTAAGCGCCAATAATCTGATGTTTTGTAGGTATTTTCTTAGGATTGTTTAATGAGGTTGAAAAGAAAGCAACTAACGACTAAGTGCTATCGCTTACTAATATCATCTGTTACGAACTCATTTTGGATCTGCTAGTGCTGTTTAGTTAGCTATGGGGTTTCTCTTTTCGTTCGATTCTCTGAGCACAATCTTTGACAGTCCTTGAAGTTTCACCATTGTAGCTAAAGTTTGCTACGAGGTATAAGCTTCGATACAGGGATCTTCAACAAAATTTGGTCTTTCCTAAAAAAAACTTTTGTTTCTGTAAGGCATTAAGCTAAGGCTTAATCTAATAAATGCCTAATAAAGTACATATATTGGAGTATCATGAGATCGCGTGTAGAGTTGTCAATTCTAGAATCATCTAAGATTTTGGACGAAGACCGGTGACGAGTAGCGAGTGACCTTCCCCCGACTGAGACTGAAATTCAAACAAGCAAATAAATGGTTTCCGAACCCCTGTCTGCCCGGAGGCTAACTTCACTTAGCCTACTGGCCCTGCTCGAGGCGTTACTTGTAGACGTGGTTTCGCAACGTTTCCGCCACAAGCTGAAGATCGGATTTGAGTATCCCGCATTAGACGATACTCTGGGCAGGGTTGACAAGAGGTAAAAAGGCGACTGATAACGGGCAGTTTGCATCCGTTGTTCCGCGAGCAACTATTGAAGCCTCGTAAACAGACCGATCAGAAGTCCAGGTAAAAAGGTGGTGGATGCAATCTAGCAAGCAATTGGACCCGGGGCAAGCGCATTCTAAGCCCAATGGTTCGTATCGGAGGAGGTCGATTTCGGCGCAGTCCTTCGTGTTAACAGGGTTGCTTCCTATCGCCAACCACAATCTTTAGCAAATGCGGACTCGCGTCTCCGGCGACAAGTGAATCATTGGTCCGTCGTTAATAATCGTCATGCGTTTTTCGATACAGCCCTCGCAGTCAATGCAAAAGGCCCGACAGTGCTGGGGCAGGTACTCTATAAGGCACCTGGTGCGGACATCCTGCTCCAGTCTGTGGGATCCTCGATGGCTCAACGTGACCTCGTGCACCTCCTTCAATGTTGAATCGACCCTCCGGTCGTGTAAAACTACCTTCTCGTCCCGATATAACTTACGCCGCTTAAACGTGAACTTGGAAGCTTTTCGGCGAAAGCTTCCTGCTGTGCTTCAATTAAGTTAAGGGAAGGACCTTTCGGCCTCGTAGGTTACCCTTATGGTACCCAAGAGTTTCGTTATAGGCTTTATAGTCCATTTTAATGAATGTATTATGTGAACCTAATAATGTAAAGCTAATGCGTAGCACGTACTCTTAAGATTGTTTAGGCAACAATATAAGTAGAAAAGTAAACAAATAGTTAAGTCCAAAATATATTCGAATCGTCAAAGATATAGTCCCTCCAGTTGCTGAAAACCCAGGCGGAGTAAGATGTGATAACCCCCTCAATGGAAACTACCGGGGCTAGCTTTATGAAACTCCTGGGACGGGTACTAGAGATATTTTGACCCGAGGATGCAAAAATCTAGACCCCCGGTCCCAAGTGATAACGGTTCCCGGAAGTGCTAAAAGCCTTATTAGAACTCGGTAACCAGCGGTTTGAATAGAATCAAAATATTGTATGTTATCAACCTAGTCGTGGGAAGCTCTAGTTAAGAATCCCAGACCACCTGGACCTCTACTTCCGGTGCTATGCCCTATGCAAATAGTCCCGACTTCGACTTCCAGAAGCCGTTTCTCGGGCACCACTGAACTCAGGGGGTCATAACTTTTGGATATCATTATTATTATTAGCAAGTTACATCATGTGTTATAGTTTGAACAAAATCCAGCGGTTGGACTGGAAGTTATTAGCAGTTGGGAAAAACACCCCTTAAACCGGAAATTGGCAATTTACGCAAAATTTTGAGCGGGGGCATATCGATTTTATGGCGGAAAAAAGACACTAGACTCCAACATCGATTTAAAAACCCTCCGATGGCTCCTTGTGGTGTTAATAGGCATTTCCCGATAAAAAAGATAATGGACTTTAGGAAAGAGTTAACTCGGGAAGTATTAACGGGATGTGGATGTAAATGGGACCCTCCGGTCCCATTGGGATCCTAAATCTGTTAATGGAAGATTGACCCCGGAGTGACCTTTAAATGACGTTCAACAGTTTGGGACCAGAATTGCACAGAAAACCTCAAGATTAACACCGGAAAGTGGCGTATTCCCCCGGCCCAACCCCTGAGATTGAAAATTGGTCACCTCACTTATAATTGGGAGGGAACTTACCTGTTGGCAAATGAAGCAGAATCTGAAAGAGATGTAGCCTTTAAATTGTAATATCGAATTAGTGGAATTAAATAAAGTGGGCTTTGCAAACATTCGGCTTAACTTAGCCTGGCGAATGCGCTATTAATAGAAACTCATTCAGACTTTAGAAAGTAGTCCCAGAGAAAATTGGCGGTAATAGGAGAATAGAATCGGAAGTAGGTCTCATAAATAATATGAATGTACGGAATATTACCGAGCTCGTCGGAGTTGACTTTTCGATACATTTTGATCCCTAATAAACAAGTTACGTTCCCCTGATAGCCAGAAGGTAGGGATTTGAATGAATAGTGTATTGATAGGAATTTTAGAGGCTTAGATTGTGCTAGCGACCCATGGAAAGGGTCTTCCCCTACCCACGGGAGGTCGGAACGTTAATGAGACAACTAAATAAAAACCTTAGGAGACTTGTTAAATAAACATAACTCGGTTTAGAGGTGAAAATTTAAACTTGATTTTTGCCTTGATTTTTGCGCAGAAGTTTAGACTTGCGCAACGTAGTTAGAGATACCTATAATGAACTTGCAGTACAGGACTAGTACCGACAGAGAAAGAATCTGGTAGAGTCTGTGTGAAAGGGTTACTAAAGTAAACGTCAGGACTTGTAAGGACGACCAAAATGCTAACTATACCTGAAACTCAAATAGAAAAACATAGAGATTAACAAATAGCCTACCATAAGGAAGAACAGATGCTACTGAGATAGAGTATGATTGGTTGTCAGTTTATTGGACAGGATAGCGATAGCTAATATGAGAGTAGTTGGGTTCTCATTGTTATTAAATTGGCTGACCCCCGAGGTTATTTTCCGGGTATTTGCACTTGGAATAATTCAGGAGGGAACAATTATTAGTTAACTGTACCGTGTTGAATTAGTTGCGTGAACGAGTTGCGCTGTGGAGTTGGTAATCGTTAGCGATTTTTGAATCGGGTCAAGTGAAGACTGACGAGTGAGTTGGCGAAGCGATTGAACGAAACGAGACGCCGGCTCCTTATTGAAGTAGTTAATAGTAGTTAACTCATTGAGGGCCATGTAAGTTACTTTTTGTTTCCTCTGTGGTTGAAGAAGATTTTACCTATTGATCCCACTATTTGCTGAACTAGCTAAAGAGGCCAGAGGAGAGCCGAAGAGAGCACAAACCAAAGGGGAAGTTGCGTAACCTCTTGCGGCCGATTTAGTCTGACCATCAACATAATCCTTTCGAGAATGTAGAACACCTAGTGTTTTTGTCCCCCACTATTACAAAGTGAAATAACTACGTCACGGCTAATCAAAAGAAACTCTCAACTTTGATAACTTCACCTCAATTTTTTTCGCAAGAGAATATACTAGGTCCATTAAAAGAAAATGATTTTCAATTGCTAAAATTGATTTTTAAAAAAGACCAAAATGCTGACTACCTAACTTTTGTAATAACTATTCTTCGCAATATATCCTTGTACTTTTTCTGAGACCAACAAAATTTTCGATGTACTTCAGGGTTTTTTCCAGTGTTAATTGAGCTTTTGTTTTAAAGGCAAATTTAGATTTTCTTTCGCTGGAATAAATTTCAAGCAATCAGATTCGAGCAAGTTCCAATTTGAAATTAGAATATTTTGGGCCGTATAACAGACAATACCAGTCCTTTTTAATGTGGTTCATATAATGCAGTTTAGTTCTTGGCCATTGCGAGTAATACTTTATGGAAACGCTTCTACTTCCTTCGTAATTTGAAATATTTTTTTATTTTAATAATTGAATGAGCTTGTTGCTTTGTAGTTCATTTCGTGATTTGTTGTTTAACTTCCTTCCTGGTTCATTTCTTTTGACAATTAATAGTAAAAAAAATGTGTATTTTTTAGCTGATCGGTGAATATATGTTTTGATTTAGTAGATAAGTTATTTCAATAAATCAAATACGTTTTCGATAAATACGTGATAAGTTTGTTTGAAATATATTGAAAATGCATATGACATATTTCGATGTAGTGTTTAGAAATGGTTATTTACGCGTAGAATTAAATTAAAGTTTTCAGCTTATCGAGTTTCTTTGATAATTGATAAAACTTCTTATTATTTACAATCCTTGGGAAAACGTGGCCGTGTAGTCACAAAGTATGAAATGATTTTTATTGTTTTTACGGTTGGCCATAAAGCAACTGTATGTAGGCTATGAACAGGATATCAGTAAGGAAAGGATCGTTTTTGGCAATTGGCTAGTATACCAAACCTTGCCCATTGCACTTCTGGTCCGAAAAAAGGAGATTCCACAATGTTTTGTCAATATGCTACTCTTTATATAGTATGCATGCAATAATGTCTCGTGACGTGATCAATCTGCGTAGATGTGATCTGGAATTAAAAATAGCATTACATAATAGTGTCCTTTTTTATAGCCTCAATTTTATGCAATAAACCGCCGTAAAAAAAACGCATTCAAATGGAAATTTACCATTCCACACAGAAAAAATCTGAAGCTTTTTGAAAAAGCGTAAGCGAAAAAAGCAAAAGCTTAAAAAAAGTGTAAGCGCAGCCAATGTTAGTTTGAGTATAACGCGTTAGAATGGTGTTGTCATATTAGCTCAAAAAATTGTAGTTCGTTTATCGTCAGTTTCAGTTTTGATGCAAATCTGTTTAATTTACCGCCTAACTGGGACTTCTTAGTTAATCAGTTAACTTACCATTCGCGAACTGTTTTCAATATTGATTTACCATTTTCAGATATTTATGAGTTATTTACTTAACTAAAACCGGCAATACTTACACTATTTTAACCGTACCTCACACACAAAGAAGCAATCACAGCACTGCTATTTTGTAGTTAGCCGCGATCAGAAGTCACAAAATTGGAATAGAAAATTTGTCATCATGGGAGCTTCGCAGGTGGTTTTATTCGTCCTCAACTTTGTGGTTTTCCTCGCTGCGGTCGCATCGCTGGGATTTGGACTGTACATTGTGTTTGAAACCGCGTTCGACGACAATGACATCGGCGAGATGCTCGGCGGAACTAATTTCCAAATCATTGCGATGGTGTTCGCGGGAGTGGCCGTGGTCGTGATCCTCATCTCATTCGCAGGATGTTGCGGGGCTTACAAGGAGAGCACGTTCTTAGTAGTGATATACATCGTCCTTCTGACTGTTGTGGTGGCGCTTGAAATCGCAGTTGTCGTGATGTTCGTGCTCTACGGGACGGACATTGAGGAGAAAACTGAAGATTGGCTCGGAGATTCAATGAAGGACTACAGCTCGGACAGCGACGTTAAAAACGCCTGGGACAAGTTCCAGGCTAAGTTCGACTGCTGCGCCGTAAATAACTACACGGAATGGGCTGAGCTTCTCGGTTCGATCCCAAGTTCGTGCTGCAAACCGGCGTTCCCGAACTGCAACGGCAGTGATCGGACCGAGCTATACGAAAAAGGATGCAAAGCGACAGTGGTTGATAAAATCGAGGACAACATGGATATTCTGATGTATGCTGGGGGTGCGCTGGTGGCTATCCAGTTGCTCTGTCTCCTGCTGGGATGCTGTGCGCTGAACTCGTTCAGAAAGGATGTCAAATACGCATGAAGATCAAAATCAGAACGTGGAAGAGAGATATGAAAGCGGGAAGTTATAACTCAAACCATAGTCATGGCTATGGTCTACATATGAGAACTCTGTGACCCGCAGTGTTTGAACTGTCATTGATAGTAGATGAAACCGTTTATCAATTTTTTTTCGAATATTTTGATTTGGACATTTTTCACCGCAGATTTGTTTAAAAAAGGGAAAATTTGTGAGTTATTATTACGGAAAAGATGTTCAGATTAAAGTTGAAATGTAAGCATTGATAGCTTCCTGTGTTGTTTTCGTCTTACATCATTTTCATCTATTCCCTTTTGATATATCATTTAGTTACAGCTTCAAAATAGTTACCCTAAGTTTATTTTTGCTATGAATTCAATAAAATTTGCATTTATAATTAATGAAATGTAAATGGAGAAAGAAAAGCTGATTCATTTTTTCTCATTTTGGTTTACTAAACTTGTTGCTTTACATTTAATTGCTTGAGCAGTGAAGACCTAAATGTACATTTGAATGCAACACTTTCCAAGGCTATCAGTTGGAATGAACCGTAAAAACCGTTGTTGATATGCACAACTAAGCATGGTGTTTTCGAGGTTACAATATCCCATTGTTTTTTTTTGGGTGTTGTTATTTTTTTAAAATTATTTTTCAGTCGATAAATTTATTATGATAACTGCTTAAATAGACAGAGATAATGGGATATTGGAAACGTAATTTCAAGTTTTGTATGAAATCTATTGACTCGGTGTACTTCGCAAATGTTCTATATTTAACGATCAACAGATTCTCAGTGACTTAAAACCTGGCATCGTAAAAATTAAATCAAAATCCGCTTTGTGTTTGTATGTACCCGTAGTCAGTTCCAAAATTTGAACCTTTTCGCAGCAACTAGTTTTCCACTGTAACTTCTGAAGGAATTGGAAAAAGGAGGCAAACCTTCTGAGTTGTGCCAGCTGAACAACATCTTGGCAAATCGGGTCCCAGCGGCGTGTTAGGACAGAGAAGAAATCCTGTTAGTTGACTGTTATTCTTTTATAAGTGACAGTCATTTTCTGTAGAAAATTTAGGGGGGGGGTTCACTCCATTGCTCGAAAATTCACAGCTCATCAACCATTAAGCTATAATAAAGATGAACGCTTCAATTTTTTTTGCCTCAAGAAAAATCTTTACAGTACGTGAATTAGACATATATGAGCTATTAAAATTTCTTAGACGATCTTTATATGGTCATCACTTCGAAAAATATCTAAACTATTTATTTTGTTTCGATTACCACAGCAGAACTACTAGAAGATCTAATAAAAAGTTTTTGAAAACTATGAGAATCAAGTCAAAAACTCAAAAGTATTCATTGTTATATCGAGGATCTAAACTCTTTGATATCCTTCATGAAAATAATTTGATTCCAATTGAATGTCAGTCGATAAATGTCTCGCCAGTGAGTAGTTACGTTCAAAGAATGAAACATCTTTATGTTCTGGGGAATAATGATTTGACCAAACGAATTTTTGAATAAAATCCATTATTGAATCATTGTTTTCAATCGCATTTTTTTATCCACATTTTTCCTCACTTAAGCCTGCCAATGTTTTTTTCTACGGGGAAGTAAGAATTAATACGATTGCTACTCCGAGAGGGCCGGCTGCCAGTGCTTTTTTAAGTTCTACTAGTCGAATTTTTCGGATGTGTTGATATGAAGAATTTGGATTAGCGTCAACTTGGACATCACAATCTGAAATGATAATATAACCATCTTGCTAAATTTGTGCTAAAATTGATGCATGATTTCGAAATACGAATTTTCTAACCCTGTTTATAAACTGTTTTGAAAAAAGGTTGCATAAACGTCTATTTGATGGGTCTTTCGCGGCGGTTAGGCTGGGAAATGATAATTTGTTATGGGGTTCTAATGGTACCAAATGACCGCCTAAAAAAACTCAATAATCGGCGTGAATTCATTGTTACAATTATTGAAAGCTTAAAATCATAATCTTGAAGCAGTTTCACGTGGAAGTAATTATTGTGGTTGTCTATGCTACAATTATACATAGTGCTTAGAATCGTTGGGGCACTACCCTTCGACCAGAAAGTCTATTTAGTGTCCGCGCTGGTCAATGATTTTGTAAATGTAAAAAAATTCAGGTAAGTATATTTTTGAATCAGAGAAATAAATTTCTTTCTTTGTTTCAAATGAAGAACTTATACAAGTAATTTTGCCATCTGTTGAAGATTCTATTTATCGGCACTGTTTGAATGACTGTGCTAAAAAAACTTAATTCTTCGGTGAAGTTTTTCAAGCAGTGCCTACTAACTCCATTTTGAGCTGAAGGCAGAAAAGTTTTGGTACTGAGTTATTCGAGAAAATTCTATTTTTATAATGATTTACGTTGGTGAAATAACTCAAAATAGTGTCTTGATGTTTCTTTTCTTTTTAACTATTTCGTTACGCTTGCGATTAGCAAGCGTTATCAAATCGGAATAACTACTTTTTTGATTTAACAACTAGTTTCACAAAATCAGTTGCAGCAGTTAGCATGGCCGCTCTATTCACTTCTTCCGTGCTGGACCGTTCTATTTGCTCTTTTTTATTTCCAGGTTCCATCTCTAAGGTCTGGGATTGAGTCTCGGCCGGATCTTGGTATTTAGCAATTGTATGCAAATGAATATTCGTTTAAAAATTAATTGTCGGATTTTCGTTTGTCTGCTCAAGTTTTGTCGGCTAAGTTGCCACATCACGGATTTTGCTTGCGCTGTAAGCAACTTTCTTTGCAGTTGCAAGTGCAACTGTTGTTGATTCCAGTTTCAGGGAGGGACTTGAAAAACTAATTTTCTTTTTTAATTCTTTTTTTTTGTTCAACTGGTGTCTGCTCAACAATTGTCGGCTTAGTAGTCACATCCCTGGGTATTTTTTGCGCTGTAAGCAAATTATACTAGTTTTTCAGGGAGGGACTTGAAAGATTAAAAAAAGTTTCGACAAACTCTCTTTTTTTCGGGTCAACTGGTGTCTGCCTGAAGATTGTCGGCTTAGTAGTCACATCACTAATTTTTCTTCTGCTGTCAGCATCTTCCATTGTAGTTGCAAGTGATAGTCTTTTTCATAGCAATAGGGAATTGAAATTTTAAATATTTTTCATAAAATTTTATCATTTCGGCTCATTTTGTTGATTCGGTTGATTTTTCGCGATATGACTTGATGTTCACTGCAGATTATTTTACGGGAAAGAAGGCAAATTACGCTCTCCAATAAAGAAAGTCCTGGTGGAGTGAATAAAGAATGAGTGTTAGTTCCAAAAACGGATTTTGAACTGTAAATTTCACAACGGATTGTAAAAATTACCACTTGATCCAGTTTTGGCTCTTGATCCTGTTACAAAATAAAAACAACGATCCAGTTTTCGCTCACATAACAAAAGAATCTTTTCAATGTTGGGTATCAAGATCAAATATGTTTTAAATAGCCTAGTTAGTCGGTAAATCAGATGCTGAAGTGTCAACAAACGTAGTGAAGACACTTATATAGGTAGTGTTAAAATATTTTTAAAATGTTCAGGCCTAATTTTATCTTCGCGTTACGTATTTTGTTTTCTTTTTAAGTTTAGTTCAAATAAGTTTGCTGAAAGGAAGGCGAATTACGCTTTCGAAATACGAAATCTGAAATGGTTCTTAAGCAACTTCTAGTTTCGGAATCGGTTTTTAATGTTTAGATTTATAAGTGCAATACAAAATATATCTATTGATATAGTTTTCTCAATTTAGGTCAACTCTAACAGAAAAGTTGACAGTTTTCCATAATAAATTCGTCTTGAGTTTTACGAAACTCGAAGACGATACATTTCTTAGAAATCAAAAAAAAAACAAGTCAGTCGTATTTTTCTGTTTCCTTCGTTGACACCTTTCCAATTGTCTGTTGTTTATGTTCTCTCCCTGAAAGATTTTTTTCAAGAAATTTTTCCTGCAATGATTTTTTTAGACTATCTTCATTTCAAAAATGAATTCATTTGATTGGCAGAGAAAAGACTCTATAATCTTAAGTGATTGCAACAGAAAGCGCAAAAGCACTGTGATCGGTCGGTTCAGTTGCGGAGTTAAGAAACAAATAAACGTTGGAGATAGATAGGGGAGGGGGCGGACTCAGTCCGCTCATCAAGTCTCAAGGAAGACCTCGCCTCAAGTCCAGAGGCGTCCAGTAGTACCGCGCAGATTGGAGAACGGTCTGCAGCAGGAGGTGCGTACAAATCCCGCAAGGAGCCTGCATCGGACATCATCTGCGAGAAGGGAATGAAGCCAGAACGCAAAAAGACTACATGAAAAACACGCCGACTGACTCAACTTACCGATTAGCGACAAATGGAAACGTCCTCAAGTTTGACAGAAACCGATCAAGAAGAGAAGAAAGAATCCTTCATCAACTGAGGCTGAACAGGGTTCCCTGGCTGAAGTATGTAGCCCATCGGCACAGGAGAGCCGAGAACGACATCTGCCGCTACTGCAACCAGCCCCCTGAAGATACCGAACGTTTCATGATATCCTGTCCGTTCTGAGAAGAAGAAAGATCTGACACTCTGGGGCAAGATCCAGATCTGTCTGGGCTACAAGAACACCCAGAGAAGATCTTATCGTTCGTCTGCAGAGTGGGGAGACTCTCCGAGTCTCCCACGACATCATTGTGATCGTCCCTCACTAACAACAACAACCTTCCCTCATGAACTTGCCTCCCTCCCCCCCCCCTCAACCCGATAGTCCTTCCTTTGATACTATTTTAAGACATTCAATTTTGGCCGCATAATTTTGAGGTTGGAGATCGTGCTGGAAAATGCATTTTTCTCTCTCAAAACGTTCGCAAAAATGCCCAAAAACTGGCATTTCTGTGTCAATTACGCCGATGAAATCCTAGCTTAGCCCCTAGATTTTTCTAAACTGGATTATTATATTTCGTAATTATCTCTTGAATTAGCGAATTGCAGCTAATTTGACTTTTTTCAGATGGACATTGACCGTAGCAAGTTGCTACGTGCCTCTTTCTTCGATATTTGTATGCGACTACAGACATGCGAGCTTCTTTGTGACTACCTCATTTCGCATGAAGTAATCGAAGATACAGTTCGAGAAACGATCGTTCGACACGAGACGACCTTCATGAAAAATTACGAACTGCTTAGGGTACTAGAGACGAAAAACAACTCTGCATATAATGCTTTTGTGGATGGCTTGCGAGATTTGCAGGAAACCAATCTACTCGAGCTCCTAAATGTACCTCTTTAAAGTCAAACTTTTTAAAACTCGCGAATTGCCTGAATACCTTCTGAATTTTATAGTTTTAAACTTTTTTAGATTGTTTGGAGTAGATCAGGATATTTGTAGATCAGTTGAATAGTTTCAGATCTTTGTATTTCGAATGATTGGAGTAAATGTAAGTTTCTTCTATATAATTAAAAAAGCTGTGTTGTTTGTTTTTTTCTCAAAACGTAATCAGAACCCATGACTCGGGTAGAATCTACAGGTTTGTTTTTGCTCAAAACGTAATCAAAACAAGCGCCTGGATGTTAGGTGGGTTTTCCTAAAAATCGAACACTCCATCATCAATTAATAATCTAAGACAATATTTATTTGCGAAGAAAAGTGTATTAGTACGAACTTTCTATTTTTCCAACCGAAGTCGCGTTTAAGTGTTACTTTTGGTCGCACTTTTGAATCGGTAGGCTGCGGTAGTAAATTATCTTTAATTCATCAAATGAACTGAGAAATGTTATTTGTTTCAAAAAGCTGTTAAAAGATAAAAAATCTCGGCTTCAGAAATTTTCCAATTCAATATATCTAGCAATTTTTTTGAAATGCATAATTTATACATAATTTGGCTTTATGCTTTCCAATTTAATACATGCAAAATT